TGACCCAGAAGGATGTAGAGGACATGTTCTCACGTTATGGACACATCATTAATTCTCGTGTACTTGTTGATCAGGCCACAGGTACGACAGGTGAATGACTTCCTTGCTTTTCAAAAATTCTCTCCAGTTACAGTCTTTGTTTGACAAAAAGACAAAAAAAAAAGTAGTAGCCACGTTGCTTGTATCAGAACAGGCCGGTCACCAGCTGCTGTATTGTACATAGGTGGGTCCCGGGGGGTGGCTTTCATCCGGTTTGACAAGCGGGCAGAGGCGGAGGAAGCAGTCAAACATCTGAATGGCCAGAAACCACCTGGAGCGGCTGAGCCTATCACGGTGAAATTCGCTGCCAACCCAAACCAGGCGAAGAACACGCAGCTCATCTCGCAGCTCTACCACAACCAGTCCCGACGCTTCGGGGGCCCTTACACCACCAGGCACAGCGGTTTAGGTAAGACAAGTTTTGAACGTTTACATCCACCGAGTATCTGACTTACTTTAAGCCATGTTTCCTTTTTCGTAAGCGATGTAGTTAGTCAATGTGTCTGGTCACCAATATAGTATGGTTGCCATTGCTTTTTCTGCTTTTAGTCTTTTGATAGCCAATAACTCTGTTATCTACAGAGTCAGTGTACATAACACTAGGGGACATATGTTGACTTAGAAAAACAGCAAACACGTCATTCAAATCTAAAACACAAAGAAGCTGATCTTGAAAGGAAAGATGGGTTTTTAACAACTCAGATGTTCATTTAAAAAAACAAATAGAACAAATTTAAGCATGGCGGACAAAGGAATGTATAACATGTTGAGAAACCACACTGCTTGTTTTTTGCTGGAGTTTTAATTCATATCACAGAAGTACATGTAAAAAAAAAACATTTTGTTGTTGTAAAAATCTGCTTTGAGCCTCTCAAATTTGCTGTTTTGCTTAGTCTTGTGATAGTTAATGGAATATCTTTGATTTTTCGGCTGTTGGTCGAACAAAACAACACATTTGAATATAATATCAACTTGAGCTTTGGGAGAGTGTGACGAGCATTAAAAAAAAATAATAATTATAATTTAATTCTATAATAATTAGTTGCAGGTCATATATTCTTCAAGAAACTGCTGTGGTTGTGACAGGCTTTCACTTCGGGTACTCCACATATTCTCATTTCTAGGTTCTCTCCCATGGCTGTTGATCACATGGGCAGCATGGGAGGCGTCAGCGTCCCCGGGAACTCCACCTCGGGCTGGTGCATCTTCATCTACAACCTGGGCCAGGATGCCGACGAGAGTATCCTTTGGCAGATGTTCGGCCCCTTCGGCGCGGTCACCAACGTCAAGGTGATCCGAGACTTCAACACCAACAAGTGCAAGGGCTTCGGCTTCGTTACCATGACAAACTACGAGGAGGCGGCCATGGCCATCGCCAGCCTGAACGGCTACCGGCTTGGAGACAAGATACTGCAAGTGTCCTTTAAGACCAGCAAGGGCCACAAGTAGAGAGAGCTGGACAATCGGGTGTAGAGGAGAGATGGAAATGACCTGTGCCAGGCTTTTATTGTAGAGCAGGAGTTTGTCTGACACATATGTTTGGGTTTTAGTGTATTCAGAGTTAAATGAGATGTTCACTCTTCTGCACCTTTGTATTTGTCTAAAAGTGTTTTTTTGTTTTTTTTTTTTTTCCATCTTTATACTCCTGCTTGGGGCTTGAGGACACATGGTAGTTTTAATTTTTAGGGAGGGAATGGAGAAGGCATAATCCCATGATATCCCCAAGATAACCTAAAATTATCTAAAAAGCTAAAATATTGTCTTATATGTTGCATGTATAACTGTTGGGACAAGATAAAGGAAGCAGGAAAACGGTCCTTAGCAGTGCACTGAAAATACGGAGCGCAAGGAAAGGCCTGCAAATTGTTCTCAAAGTGTCGACACCTTAGTAGATGATTTAGTCTAAAGAAGGGGAAAAACAATATTTTGCTCGTAGCCAGTGGTTGTTAGTGTTTTCTGAAAAAGCTACGCTCTGGGTCTGGGTCCTCGTCATAAGTAGATATAGATGCCTTAAATGATCATCCAGTGGACACATAGACCTACAATACCACTCACTGTCTTGAGTTAATCTAAGAGCAAAGCACTTTTAACCAATCTGTTTTAGGTTACCATGAATATCAGTCTTTTTGATGTTAATCAGATTCTCTTTTTTTTTTGGCTCACCCTCCCACCAGGTTAACGGTTTTAAACATGACGAGCTCTGGAGGGGAATGTTTTCATTTTTTGTTATCCCTGTGTAAAGTGTCTTTTTATTATGAGTTGTATTTCAGGAGAGTCCTGTTGAATATGAACCCCAGTCAATGAGTAGGGAATTAAAATGGACCAAAAGCAGAGAGAGATTTGATGCTATAATCCCAGAAGAGTTTTCTGAGCAGATTTTCAAAAAGGTAAATTTACACCTTTTATTGGATCTTTTTGTTTTTTTTGAAGAGGTACTAAGGTTATTGATGCGGACTGAGAGCAACATCACTTTGGCTCAGTCTGTGTTCTGTTTTGTTTTCTCTTTTATTTGAGTTATTTTCTTTTTGTTTAAAACATTTTTTTTTTGTTTTCTGAAAGCATAGATTTTTGTTTGTTAAACTGTAAGTTACAAACTTGTTTTAACGAGTGCTTATCTCAAGTTTGGAGATAAATTAATGGCCTTTGTTAATGATTTCAGTTTAGAGTTGCTTTCTTTTCTTCCTTTCTTTTGTTTTGGTTGTTTCACTTTGAGCATAAACCATTAAATTTTATTTCTTTTTGCTGAAAGTTTTGTTTGGTTTGTTTCTTTTTTTATTTACCTTTTTAGATTTGATTTGGAGTTTTGTTCTATTATTTTTCAAGAATCAAATCTGCACTGCTGATAAAAGATCCCTGGTCAAGCAAAAAACAAGATGTTACAAAAAGTGTTTCTACTGCAGGGTTTTAAACATCTGAGACAGGCTTTAATTGTAACCATATGTGGACCAATGTTAGTTGAGATAAGGTTATTTAACCTGTACGCAGACATTTCAAGGGAAGTGACGGTCCAGCAGACATTTCATGAAGCAACTTTTCTGAGATAGCCAGATGAGTTTGAACCACTGAGGAGCAACGGAACTGGCAAGCTGAAGCTGTATGTTGGCACTTTAGGTACGGTCGTTCAGCAGAGTCGAATGTCAGGCTTATTTATTGACCCAATCGTACCTGGCTCAGTAAACCTGCATTTTGATACCCGGCTGATTTACATTTAGATTGAATCCGATTTTTCAGCTCAACCAGATTTGTTGTGCGTCTGCAGTGTTTTGATATTTCAACACAGCACATAAGTATGCACTCTTCACTTGCAGACACAGGCCTTTATACCCAAACTCATTGCTCTGATCTTTGCCTAATGGGGGATTGCTTTAACTATTGAGGGTTTTGCATTGACTTGCTCAGTAAAACACTTCTTATATCATCCAAGTACAAAAGATCGTTCGCATATCACAGCTGATCTTTCAATGAATTTTGGTAGATTCTTGTTCTACAAGGTGGTTGGAGCATTAGCAATGGTAATTGTTTTTTTTATTTAATCTGACCACAAATTTAACAGAGGAGCTGTTGGTGATAGTTAAAATTAGCAAATGATTGTTGGGAACCTGCTCACACTTTTTAGATTTCAGTTTTAAAATCAGTTTTCTTTCCAGCAATAACTCCCCTGAAGCTTCATTAAATGCCTCTTCAATCCCCAGTGTGCCCCCTCTGAAAGGAGTATTCCCATCACATGCTTCAGATTTTGGTCTTAAAAGTGCTTTTGATTTAGTATTTCCATGTTATTTTTGTGTCACAATCCTTAACTTTGTGCAATATTTCCTGACTTGCTCAAAGCAGGTAATAGAAAGTTGTTGTAGTCTTGGACTGTCATCTTTTTTATAATTTCTTTTTTCTACTGACGTTTTATGTTACTGCTTAGTTTTCTCAGCAGTCTAGTTGGAATTGCATGAAAGATGCAAGTGAATTTGTTTTAAGGGGCAGTCAGAATAAACTGCATTCCGCCTTAATTTATAAGTGGAAATGGTGTATTTTACATCCGAGGAGGCACAGATATTTATTTGACAATGTATGCGGTCATACTTGTTACTTTATTGGAGTGTTTTTAATGATTGATCTTTATTTTTATTGGTTTTTGAAGGACACTAAGTTGAAGTTCATTAAATGTCTTCTAACATTGGATCATTTCAATAAAAATATGGTGGCTTTTCAAAGTTGAAAGAATTAAAAGTCTCTTCAGATGCTTATTGTGGATTTGCTGTAAGTGATTTTCTTGACAACCTATTAAATGTATGCACATGTGAATGTTATATCATTGTTTTACATGTTTAAGTTTAGCATTATTGTAAGGTGACAGTATTCCTGTTTTACTCATCAACATAACAAGCTCAAACATAATTTAACTGACAGAACCCAAAAGCAACAAAACATGATTTAGTAGCATTTGTGTTGTGGTTACAGGAAGAGGGATTATGCATCTTGTAATGTCACCTATCCTTCAGCTGGTCACGTGGTATTGGCCCAGTTATTACCTTCTGAGACCAGATGGGGGAGACATGTCTGCATATACAGTACATTTACTGTACTAGACCACCATCAACTCTGAGTAAGTTTCCTGCAGCACTTTTATTGTCTGTGTTCATTTTTCACCTAAAGAGACTCTTTAACTCAAGCTTAATGATAGAAAACACGGCTTAAAGTTATCAATAAGATGTCCTGAACCAACTCTTTCATGTGCCACTTGCACAAAAGCTGGACATTTTTAACTTTGATAGCCTGCTCACTACTTTTATGTCATTGTGGTAGAAAATATACAAAGGATCAGCCTCACAAATTTAATCTAACTTGTGTAATTACTTTCCTCCTATATTATTCAACTTTAATTATATATATCATTTTGTAAATGTTTATCCAAAAGGGGTGTGTGTGTGTGTAGATTAAAAAAACAGCATGCAATACAACCGTTTTTTATTAGAAAAAATGGAACACAAAATTAAAAGCAAAGGTATAAAAACAAATGATCTAATCAGCATCATGTAAATATTCAAACTCGTATATTAGTGTTTCTTCTATATATATCCATAAATCCATTTTCTAACATAAAGGTTCTCTTCATTCACACAATGAATTTGCTTGTCGTTTATCTGTTTCTGTTTACTTTCAAGTCTTTCAAAGTTCTCAGAATTATTGTCAAAACTGAGATCATGTTAAGGCAACTCAAAACCTTGATTTAAGTCTAAACCTACGATCAAACTTTTAACAGCCCTACTATGAATCTCCACTGACTCCGCTATCTAATGCATGTCCTTATCATGTCTGCAGGTGCATTCAGAGTGTCTGTTTAAAAACTGGGTACATGTGAAACTCCTGTCTAAACCGAATGGAAACATACAGTACATCAATTAATGAAGGTTTTCTTGTTTTCAACATGGCACAGGTGAAATCCATTTCCACCGCTAAACCCTGACACCACAATATACTTGATCATTGGTCTCATATATGACTAACAGGACTTAACAAAACTTGGTCTTTCCAGGCCTCAGATGATGGTCCCTTTGGTCCCAAGAGGTCAATCTATGAGGGCTGTACAAGGCAGTTTCCCTTGCTGTCCATCCTATAAATGTGTCTCAGACTTGGCAGAGGTTGTAGCAGGCCACAGGTCTTTCCAGCACGTTGTCTCCATCAACTTCAAACACGTAATCGCAACGGTGTGCAATAAGAGGAGCATCAGACATCGCCACGCTCTGATTACCAAAGGAGATGACTGTGTCTCTCTGTAGGGAACAAATCACCAACAGTACAGTTAGTTAAGTAAAAGCAGTTCTCAGAGGTTGGATTTTTCTAGAATTGCATGAAAACAGGGTTAAAAACTTCCATATTTTAAGTATCATGACCTAATTGAAAGCCCAGAAAACATATTTTCTGTATCAGCTTCTTACTAATAATTTAGCTAAAGAGTTCGCCATGAACACAAAGGTTTCTGCTAAAGTTTCAGAAACTGTTTAACTAATTTCTCACTGGTTCTCAGTGGGTTCAGTGGACTGGAAAAAGGGAATGTCACATATTCCCATGGACCAATTAGAGTTTTAACAAAATAACAGTTGTTGTGTTGTTTCTATATGTTCTGTCTGTCCAAACCACACACAAATACATACACCTCAACAACTGTTGGATCGTAACACCTCTGACCTTTTCTCTAGCACCCCTATTCGGTTGACACTTGTGACTTTAAGTTAAATGGCTCACCATTAGTAGGATTGCCACGACATTTGGTACAGACTCTCAAGATCAGGTCTAATCACAACCTCACAGAACTCAGAAGTCTTGTTTTCCTAAAACGTGTCTTGGATATTTAATATTTAATGTAATAGAGAAATGCTTAAGATTTCAAATCAAGTTTTTTTGGGCTTTTAAATCCTCACATGCATGTGCACTTTGACCTGAACAAATACAAACTGTCCTCCTTACCCTTTTGGGGCCACCTCCGTTATTGGCAGAAGGTGTGGGAGTGCCTGTAGCAGCAGTGGCGGCTCTCTCAAAGTCCTTCTTACATAAATGAGCCATAATCCCAGCAGCTAAGGCATCACCAAGAACGTTGATCATCGTCCGGAACCGATCACTGAGAATGAGATGTAAAAAAAAATCATTTACACGGTGCCCCAAATGGCCCTATATGACCCACTGATGCTCTACTGTAGATAGCGTAATCATTTCTGTGGGACTTACAGAACCCAATCGATGGCCACAATCAGCGAGATGTCAGCAGGCGGTAATCCCACAGAGGTCAGGACAATCACCATGGTAACCAGACCTGCTTGAGGTATCCCAGCTGCCCCGATACTGGCTGCCGTTGCTGTAATACTGGTGAGACAAGAGCCGAGATGTTATGGATGTAAAATACATAGGTTTTCTACACAGAGAACCTATACTGGCAGGCTAATGAGCTCAGTTTTAATTCTCACCTAATAGTGACCAGCTGGCCAAAGTCCAAGTCATACTCATTGACCTGAGCGATAAAGATGGCCGCCACTGCCTCGTACAGGGCTGTGCCATCCATGTTAATGGTAGCTCCCACTGGGAGCACGAAGCGAGCGATCTGCCGGTCCACACCACAATTCTCCAGGAGACACTTCATAGTGATTGGCAATGTGGCCGAGCTGCAGAGGAAGAGAACAAGAGGAAATGGTCAGGTCTGGGTACTCAATGGGCTTCTTTAAAAAGATGATCAATCAGAACTGGTAGGATGTCCTTAGACTACATATTTTTAAGGTTGAAATAGAGAGAACCAAGACAATGAGCTACATCTGTCATTGTCTCCTCTTACCTGGATGACGTGGCCAGTGCGATGACAAGAGCCTGCAGCAGCCCTCTGATATAGGGGAACGGATTTTTGCGAGTGAAGAAATAGAAGAAGAGAGGCAGCAGGATGAGGCCGTGCACAAACAAACCAGACAGGACTGTGATGAAGTACATGCCCAGCTTCTCTCCCAGGTGGGCCGGGTCGTGCATGTCCAGGATCTTCCCTGCCACAAGGAACACAATGCCGAAGGGGAAGTACCTGCAGGGAGAAGCAGGACAAAAGGTTCAAACGTGGAGCTTTACTCTACAAAGACATTGTTTTATTAGCCTGTGATGCATTTATTTACATTATGTGGCTAAAAACTATATATAGACCTACTGCACATATTTTTCTTTTGGTGTGGAGCTGTTTTTTATTGTTTGGGTTGGGCGTCTTAGTACCAGTAAGGGACATGTTAATGCAACAGTATACAATAATATTTAAGACCTGTGTGCTTCCAATTATTTTTAAAGTATTTAGTGACTCTTATTCATTATGACACATGTGCACACATTGCATGAGCGTGTAACAAATAAAACCTCTGAACCTTAAAACTTTATGACAGCATGTCTGGGAAAAGGCCTTAACTTGAGTAAAGGGTTTTCAGTCTTGGTGTGGAAGAATTTGACTGACCTCAACCCCATTCAACACCTTTGGGATTAATGATAGTGCAGACAGTGAGCCTTATCTGGCACCAGCATCAGTGCCCAACCTCATTAATGCTCTTGTGGCTGAGTGTGAGCAAATCCACTCAGCCAGGCTCCAGAGGAGAGGAGGCTGTTACAGCAGCAGATTAATACCCACGACTTTGGAATGAGATGTTCAAATATCACATGCGGGTGTAATGTTCACGTGGCCACAATCTTTTCGCAAGTGTCCACCATTTACGATTATTCAGCGCTAATCTCATTTATGAAAGAGCACCTGTGCGCCGTTCACACGAATGTAATCCAACCCAAAGTCGACACAACAGCTCCCTTGAGAAGCAGTAAGGACACTTCAGTGACGCTGAGATTTATTTTTAGATATAATCTGGCTCTGTTTTTGGATATATGTGCGTGACACAATAGTATTTTTCTCCAATAATGTGTGTGTAAGAGTTAAATCTTACCACATGGCAGCGTTGATGATCTTCATTACACACTCGTTGATGCATTGGCACACGTTGACTAGCGGCGCTCCACGTTCTCCCATCTTCCCCAGCAGCAGACCTGTGAACAAACAGTACATTTATATGTGCTTTTTTGTACAAGTCACCCCTGATAAAAGGTTTGTAAATTGTAAGTAAACTTAACTAATGGTTAATAAACAATTTAGTCATGCTTTATAGATAAGATATATGCCTATATAGTAGAAGTACAATCTTGAGATACTTGTACTTTAGTTGAGTAATTCTATTAATGGCTATTTTATATTTATTCTCCATTACATTTTAGTAAAATAAACAACAAAATTGACTGACTGTCCTTTTGTCATGTTTATAATGTCTATGAGTAGGTTGAGTTCCACCATTTTTTCCTCTTAAGGCCCAATAAGGTCAAATTATCCAACATTTCATAAACATGCAATCATTAGAGAATAGTTAAAAAATTAGTACAAATTTGTAAAGCAGAACCTAACCCTTTAACACAATCTGATGCATAGGAAACAATCCCATGTTATATATCAATTGCAGAGGTCATTTTTATGCAGAAACTTAAAGTACGCTATATTTTACTGAAAAAACATTTGTACTTTTACTTAAGTAAAGAACGAATACTACCACTGGTCATTAAAAAAGTTGTTAATCACGTTCTAATAAAATAATTAGCTTGTTCTAGAAAAAGGTTTGAAAGTCTTGATGAACTAAAGAGCCATGTTCATGTTGGAACAGCGTAAACACATAGCTATCGGGATTTTTCACAACCTGATAAGATTTAGTAACAATCAATAAAGCCATTGGTTACAATTTATAAACTATTTAAAGGGGGTTATTAGAAAGTAGTACCTTAAGCATTATACTTAATAAATAAGGATTTTTTTGTGATTTAATGAGCTGTGTGGATGTCTTACCCATGGTGGCCGAGAAGATGACGATCCCCAGTACATTCATGCCCTTGCTGGTACTGGGGACGATTTTATACTTGATGTCTGGAGCAGGCGTGATCTCCAGGAAGACTGGGTGGCCCAGTTGAGGGTTGTGGTAGTCGGGCATGACATATACATAGTTGGCCTGAGACTCTTTTGCATCAGAGCTCTGCACAATGGGAACCAGGTCTGTTCGATACTGGAGTGAGATGAAAGAGAACAACCACACCAAGTTGTTATATATTTGGATATTGAACATTGAATGAATGAACTGTAATGTACAATCCATATTGAGTTTCCTCCCTTTGTCCACTCACCTGCTGAAAAGTTGCTTCAATTAGATTTGACGGGATCATGTTCCTGTAAAATACAACAAAAAGACAAATCTATCAGATCATGTATATTTCACAGCTATTGTTCTGTTCATGTAAAGAGCTGGAAATTTTGTTTATTTTTTATTATGAGGGTCAAAAGTCATTTTTGACCTTGGAAACAGTAGTGGACAAAATATTCTTACCACAGGGTTAATTTACTAACTTTTTTCATGGAGTCGTAGACCAAAGCCACTACTAAATGGACCTTGTTTTCTCAGCTGCTGTTTCCAAAGCCAACAATGAAGTACGAACCTCAGCTTCTAAAACAACATGGATGATGAAGTCTTAAAGTGCTGAGAAAAGATGCCAACTTGACCAGTGCCAGAACAACAACTAGCCAAACTGCTGATGAAGGTGTGATATGATCGAAAGCACCAGCACAGCTACAAAATGGACCTTGTGGTGGGATTGTTTTTCCAGATTTCCAGACAGAATATAGAAGCTAAATTAACTTCCTGTGAGCAGCTGCTACGTTTATGCATAATATAATTGAATAATATAAAAGTACAACACTCACTGTAATTGTCTGCATGGACTACTTTTACTTTTGATGCTTCAGGCTCATTTGTCTGGTTATTATTATTTTTATACATTAATAACATTTGCTGCTTTTAATTAAGTGAATGATCTGAATACTGGCTGGTGTAATTAAGTCAAATTATGAATAGTCTGACCTCTGTTCCTGGATCAGTGTTCATTTTTACTATTTCACACAAAACACAAGAAGAGCAACAAAATAACAACAACAACTAAACCAGGGGATACACTTAGAAAGGCTCTCACATGTTAACAAGGCGGAACAGCCAGCATCATGTGCTAGGACAGCGTACGTCAATGATACTGAACTCAGCCAGAAAGCTTGTCAAACACGTAAGAGGACTGAAATGTACACCTGATCTTTGGCTCGCAGCAGCACACCAGCCACAGGTCACAAAAATAAGGGTTTTAGAAGAAGGTATTAGTGGATCTCTGGCGTGAATGGGCCTGCAGTAAGCCTGAGCACACACACATCAGACAACAGGCTCTATCTTACCGAGCGTAACATCGCACCTTCTGGGAAAGTGCAAGCTTAACAGATCACAGTTAAGTGTCTCCCCTATTCTTAGCCAACCTACTGCGTAGGAGTGATACTGCATCAATCTTTTCTGATCTTCATGATTCAAGGTTATTTTGTTGTCATTTACAATGCAGGGTTCTATAATGAAATTCAGATATAGTTCCCTTTATGCTACATGTTAAACAAAATACAAATGGCTGAATAAGTCATAGAAAAATACAAATTTGTACTGAAGGAGAATTTAGCAGCCTCAAGCATATTTTCTTCCATCTAATGTTGAAATGCTTCTGACAAAAAGACTTTTGGAAGTTCACTAAATGTTAGAAGGAAGCACATTACTCGCTGAGAATTTCATGATTTCTGGCTTGCCATTGTTTTGTTTTGATAACGTCAGCTCACAGGATCCAACTGATGTCTTGAGATTTTGTGATTAGGGAGCTTCTTGTTCCTGAGATGCACAAGGGAAGTCACATGGTCTGAACTGGATCTGTACTGGATTTAATTGGTCTGTACTTGTTTTCAAAGGTATTACACAGCAAATCCTCTTCAGTTGCGTAAGGTAGTTAAGATAGGCCCCAGTGCACGCTATTATGATGGGCTCTGGTTACTATTCCGCCATCCATTCTACCGACCCCAGTAAAACCACACTTACTGCACTGTCTATATTTACACCCCGATCCTCCTCATCCGGTAAAACACTTCTAAAACACGAGAGTGGAGAATCTGGAATCCCAGGGGGGATTGTCTCCATCTTATAGAAGTGCAGTTGGGAAGTTACAGTTATCAGCAGGGGCAGAGCTAGAGGGGTGGCCGGGGTAGCACTGGCCACCCCTGGAACCTGATTGGACACCCTGGGTGCTACCCCAGTTGATTGACAGGTCACTGCACGTCACTTCGAAAACAGCGAGATTTTTAAACGCAACCAGAGAAGGCAGATAATATAATAATAAACAGATAACAATGAAGAGGAAGGGAGATATTTCCAATTTTTTTGCAAAAAAAAAATGAATCAGGCACAGACAGACCCCAGCCCAGATATCAGCAGCCCGGGCAGCTCCCAACACGAAACAAGCCAGGCAAGTCATTCACAAGGTGATCCATGTACTGAGGTGCTTCAGTGACCGGGTTCGAATCCGACCTGCGGTATCCCAGGATTTGACTTTATTAGGCCTAGTATATGGCCCCCTCATAAATCCTTGACTACCCTCTGGCCACCCCTTGTGTAAAAGTCTAGTTCCGCCACCGGTTATCAGATCTTTTCCAAATATAGCAGAGACCCCATGTATGTCACAATGACTTCTCATTGCTTCTAATGAGGAATCCACTTAGGAACACGCAGCAAATGGGAGAAACATCTGTTTACCAGGAAAGCCTGATTTAGTTGTTTGACAAAATGCTCTTTAGTCCTAAAAGTTCATCTCATGAAATGCTAAAGAGGAAGAACATCTTAACCGAGCTGCTGAAAGAGGAGACAGTCTTTATTACTAGTGGCATGGATCTATGGGTGTCAGTCTGTAGGATCACCACTTTAGTCCAGACTGAAATAAATCAAGAAGCATTAAATTGATTGATAAGATATTTGTTCCACATATTCATGGTGCCAAGAGGATGAATCCACAGGGCATCTTAACAAAGGGAAATTTTAATCCAGTGATATATCTCGGCATATATTGGATGGACTGGCACCAAAGTTGGTGTTGACACTGACACCAGAGGTCAGATACAGAGCAGCTACAACTCGTACAGACTAAGCATCTATGCTCAAGAGCTTCAGTAAGGTAGATGTTTGAATGAAAGCATTTCCCATCTCCAAGTGTGATAGTGTTTGTGTCAGTATTAACCTGATGAGGTCCAGCAGAGCGTCTGCAGAGGTCATAACAGGCCCTGAACTTGCATGGTGGCCGTCTTTTTCTGAGCCCGTCCCAGGGTGTATGATGAGCACCAGCACGATGCCGACGATGACGGCGATAAAGGTCGTCCACAGATAGTAGGTGATAGTCAGGACTCCCAGCCGACCGCTTGCCCTTGTGTCCATGGCTGACAGGCCGGACATAAGACTGGATGGGAAAAAGGAGGTGTCCAGTTTAAACTGCTCAGTTTTTGACTCATTTTAAAACAATGAATTCAAGAGTTGTATAATTCAGTTTCAATGTACCTTCAATAGTTCAAAAACAAGGAAGATTATTTTGTCTAACTATTGAGACATAGCACCAGACATTTGCTGTGTCATAAAATATTAATTTGAATTAATATTTAGCATATTGCTTAAGAATGTTTTTGGAAATTAGTGACTTGTCATCAACATTATGTGTCCCCTATAGTCTGACTCCCACTAGGTAGGCTGTGAGTATAGGCTTGCCATTGGCTGAGAAAACAAACGTCATCAGGAGATAATCAACCCATCATCACGAGAAAACAAGAGGTTGTTTCCTCTCGTTGCTTCAAATGTTTATCAGAGAGAGTGCCAAGCCAACATGAATAGATGGCACATTATAGATATAGCATTGGTTCAACTTAATAAACAATGCATGGAGTAATGGCATGCAACAGGCCAGTTAGTATTGTTTTTCATAGTGACCAAATAGAAAATAGGAATAGAAAAAGCGCATGAGAAGAATCTGGACATTGCAGGGATCATTAACTAAATCTCAATCTTCTCAATGCCAAGAAATCAATATGAACTCTCAGATGTACATTCTGGTAATAACTCTTCAGTTCTTTTATGAATCCTTCTCGACAGTCATGACAGTGATCGTAAGGCAGACATCAGGTGTGATCAAATTAACCAGGCATTCATTTTCGAGTTCTCGTAATTATTCCAAGATAACAAAGGTAATTTTCTCATGATAAATTAACTTCTCAAGATAACGGCCTAATTCAATTGCAGTGGCCCCTCTTTTGGCTTCCATACCTTCCACTTTCTTCCAACACTATTTTGCAGGGGCACTGATGTTGCAATCTGAGCTTTACGCCGTTCAAGACAATTGTGATTGGTTTAAATACAAACAAGCCAGCATTATTTGGGAGAGAGAGAGGCCTAGCTATATGCTCCCTGTAACTTAGCTGCATGCAAAAACTTTGTTCTTAAAAAGATGTAAAACAATACAGGTTTTTTTCTTTTCTTACCTGGAAGTAATGAGCGGAAGAATCAACATCTTTAACATCCTCATCAGCAGTTCTCCAGGGAAGGAAAAGTAGATCTTTGCCTGTGTGAGAGACAAAAACCTGAAGTAAACTGTATTTCTATTAAAGGATACAATTTTTAAACTTTACCATTATACTATCCTAATAACATCCCCTAACTGAAATTCTTGTGTAGAGTGTAGTAGTGTGCAGAACAACACAATGATATGATTTATGTAACCCAAGGACTTGCAACACTGTAAAACACTCCCTTTAACTGTTTTATTTGATTTAAGTTTCAGATTCAGCACACGGACAAGAAATATGTGCACCCTAACTCTAACCCTATGAAATTGTATTAGATTTTTTTAACAATGAGGACAATGAGGACCAACATAGTTTTGTTAGCTTTGAAGTCAAACACAATGCTTTTATAAAACATATCGATACATTGTTTTAACTGTCTCATTCAAGTTTAAGTCATATGTTCAAGATCTTTTCAGTGGCTTAATTATAGGCCTATGCTTTTCTTAACCTTTAAATTTCCTTTTATGCTATATCTAATTGCCTTAAACCTAAACATATGTTTGTGGATTTACGTGTGAACTAAATATACTATTCACTGGAAGAATAATGACACAACACTGTTTATGAAACTTATACCAAATTGTTAGTATTTTAGAAATCACACGTAGCTAATTTCCTAATATTAGATTTAATAATAAAGGCACATCCCAGTATCACACCCAAGAGTGTAATACACCCACCAGTCCACTAGAGGATAACGTGTCAGTGTCATGTAATGCCTCATCTCGGTGTTAAAAGTATAACGTATGAAGGTATGGTACCAGCAGGGGGCGATGACAATGGGAGGAACAGACGAATGTCAAACACAGACCTTTGACAAAAGTCAATAGTTACTTATTTTTAATCCAAACCAAGTGCAGAAAGGGTTGTTAGAAAGACTCTCTGGCAGAAAGCCATGAGGGCTAACTTCTCTGACGCCCTGGAGGTAAGGAACAACATGACACTGCCACTGTGGTGGTTGTATTACACGCTTTGGTGTGATACCAGGTCTGCCCGCTGTTTAATGCTGAGCAATTTTTTTTTTTAATGAAACATCTGCCTGCTGCAACAGGACAACACTACGAGAGAATAGTTAAGTTACGAGTTGAGTTAAAAGATGCAATATAAAGGGGATCCCACTATGAGCAACGTCCTCTTTCTAGTAGGTGATTCAATGTTAATATACAAATATTAATTATAGCCACTTTAACTATTTCTGCACTTCTTCTGACACTTACGGTTCACTGTTAAACCACTTTTCTGCTTCTGTCTGCTTCCACTCTCACTATGACATAACTGGCTTTATCTGCAGTGTCAGTGCACAACAGAAGTCAACAGGACAGACTGGCTGGTTCTTCCCATACTAAATGTTGAGTTCATTTGCACACAATGTTAACAATCCCACTACATTTTATCAAGGTAACATAACATAACACTGTAAGACCCAAAGACAGTCACATTGCCTCCTGTTAATTTTCTGTCCATGCATTCATCCGTACCTGCGTGGACAGGTTGAGCGACCTGAGGACAAATCCAAGCACACAGCCCGTCACTACGGCAAGAACCGAGAGTGTCAGCAGGCCATTCCTCTTGCAGTAGTCCTTTACATATGCTCGGATTTTCACGGGCAAAAAACACTTCTTGAACCCCTCCATCATGATTTCTGCTCAGTCCGTATGCCAGAAGACCCCCCCCTCCCCCCTTAGTGACTACAGATATCCGAATCTCCTGGAGAGTGAGGTCGATCAGTATGTATCCCACAAGATCCGAGGCAGAGGACAGCCAGAGAAACTGATCAGATGTGGGTCCTGTCTCTCACTGAAGAACTCATCCAGTCTGGGAGAGGAAGTGTTGACTCACTGATTCCTGGTATTGCCTAAAAGGATTATCCCTATCCCATGCTAACAGAGGCTCCTCCACAGCCGCTTCATTAACGAGATTAAAGACAAGACTTCAGCACTGATTAGCTCCTCCATTTATAGCTCATTATGAGTTATTACTACCCGCCTCCATGTCATCCCATTCATAAAACTTGCTTGAATTATATTAGTATGTTCTACATCCTCGAGTCAATCATACTCATACTTTACTCATGCAAAGGTTACTGAAATGAATTTCTAAATAATAGTGACGTAAACAAGATAAAAGCTGTTGCATTAAAGGACCAGTGTGTGAGATTTAGCGGCATCTTGTGGAGTAGTTGGAGGTCACAATGCCCTCACCTCACCCTCCTGTTCCAAGCCTGTAAAAAACTATGGTGGCTGTGAAAGTCGCGAAAAATGCTAAAGAGATCTAGAGTCTTTTGGTTTGTCCATTCTGGGCTACTGTACAGGCTCCTTAAAAGAGGACCCATTCCTTCTATAGATAAAAATGGCTCATTCTAAGGTGACAAAAAGACAGCGATTCTTATTTTCAGGTGATTATACACTACTGAAAACATAACTATTAGTATTATATTCCATTTCAGCTAATAGATCCTCCTTAATATTGCACACTGAACCTTTAAAAGTCACATGTGAGCCATAATGTTACTGTTTGAAACGCCACCGATGACATAATAATGTATAAGTGAAGAAGTTGCACTGTACTGGCAGGATTATCAGAGGGCAGGGGCCAAAGGACACTAGTCCTCAGTGTTCAGGACATACCTTGACACTCGTTGTCCCTTGATCTCACCATGACGTTAGGATTTACCAGTGCAGAGGTCAGGGCCTGCACGGACGTCAGCACTTGGCATTTCAACTTGTAAATAATGCCTTGTTGGCCCAAAGAAGTGCCTCAAATGAACTTGGAGTTGTCAGTGTGAACTTGCAGTAAACCCTCATGCTGTTGAGGAGAATGTGTTTGCAATCTGCTCTAGATGAGACAAAGGTAACATGGTGCTGTAATATATATATGCTGTAGAAGGAAATCTCTACGAATGGAATTATATTTATAAATGTAAGGCTGTAGATAACAGGAAAATAATCAAAAGGAAGAATGTGAAAGTTTTAAAAAGCATTGGGATAGAGCTGTTCACAGTAATCATGGTGTGCCATTGTTATCAGCCGTTCCAGTTACTCTCATGTGTTGTTTGCATGTATAGTTAATTCTGCAGTCAGTCTATTTCCTCTGACGTCACAGCCTCCATGCTGACCTGAAACAATGTTTGCCTACGTTTCCTGTAACAAATCCAATAACATTTAATCCTTGTCTTGAACAATGCCCTCAGCAGGATCAGGATGGTGATGCGAGTCATGGTGGCTGTGGTTTCTGCTGTGTTGACAGACAGACCTGAAGTTAAAATTATGTTAGGGTATATGTATATTTTCCTCTAAAATGTAATGCTCTGCAACTAGAATATAGCAGATACCAAGTTACATGTAGCTACTTACTCAAAATATACCATAGTACAGCAGTTGAGTAAATGTACTTTGTGAAAGTACAAAGTTGCATATTTTCTACTGAAACCTCTATCTATGGAAAATGAGGATTTGGGAATAAAAATAACAACAACAATAACGAATATTAGTTTCACAACCCGTAATTTTTGTAATGGCAGGGCTGAAATAGTGGAATGCAATAGAACAATTCTTCTGCTAATTTATATAATCATTAAATGTCATGATAACTTCTTATAGGCTTTTTGCCAAAAAATCGGTCTGAACTGTAATGTGCCAACCAAAAAGGGTGAACATACTAATATAGTATAATTTTGTTAATTTAGATTTTCATATGTCAAAAGGAACATATAATAAATAACACATGAACAATACATTTTCTGATGTTCATATTATCAGACAATACACGTTTTCTCTTTTTTGACAGTAAATATGAACAGAATGCGATGTGTCATTAGATAACAGGAATATATTTTATAAAGATTATCAAAAAAAAACTTTTATTAATTTATTAGTGTGAATGTGTAGTTTGTGCTTGGTGAGGTTACTGTCAGCTCTGTGTTCAGTGGTCTGTGTCAGAGTCTCTTCCTCTTCAGCAGCTGCAGTCGGTTCCTGTTGTAACAGCTCAGTGTCTCTGCAGTCTGACTGAGGGAGGTTTTGTACGACGACAAATCACTGTGTTAACCCTACACCACTATGGACACTCTGACAGTAATAAACTGCTGCATCTTCAGTCTGAACTTCACTGATGGTCAAAGTGAAGTCAGAGCTGCTTCCACTGCCACTAAACCGAGCTGGTGTTCCTGATTCACGTGTGCTCACATATTTTATCAGGAGTTTTGGAGGCTGTCCAGATTTCTGTTGATACCAGAACATAGCCTGATCTCCATCACTGTATGTGTAAACAGCTTGGTTTGTTTTACAGGTGATAGTGACAGTGGATCCTGGAGTAAATGTCTTTACTGGAGGCTGAGTCACAGTCACCTGACCGCTGCATCCTGCAGACAAAAACAAATCATTCATTTATCAGCAGAAAGAAATGAGAGAAAAGGCAGTACATCATGTTTGAAATGTTGCTGAGTGAATGAACCTGTAAAACAGCAGCAGGCCAGCGTCCAGATGAGGATGGTGATGAGAGTCATGGTGGTTGTGGTTTCTGCTGTGTTGACTGACAGATCTGAGTCCTGCAGTGTTGAACTCACAGGACTATAAACCTTCTCAGTTCACTGGAGGATCAGCTGACGATGCAAAGCCTCCTCTCTATGGAAATGATTTCTCTGCTTTCAACACACTGAAGGCAACGTGGGACACAAAATCAGGAGAAATACTGTTTGGATTTACACCATCTATGATCTTAATGGAATACAAGGAAATATTTATTTTAGAAGTGCAGTTGAGGATTTAAGGATAAGTTTGTGTCCACTGTGGTTGGTATGATATGTCTGTTTGTCTGCCTTTAATTTACTTACATTGTTTACTGTAAATACATTATATATTTCAGTACTATTCACAACATGAATTTGTAAAATATTATTATTTAGAAACATGATGTTCATTGAGCCATTTATCAACTGATATAAAATTGTGGAACAAACAACTTTGTTGCAAAGACATTATGACAATTTCTCCATCAGGTGTAGAAAAGTGAAAAAAAATATTTATTTATACACAAATTTCAATCTATATCACTAAAAAGGTTTTGTAGATTCAATAAAGTTTATTCTTTCTATGTTTTTAGTACAATTAGAGAGTGTTTTCAGTGGATAGATGGTTGTTCACAGTGCAGGAGGTTTTTGTACGGCCACTTAATGAGTTTGTATCACTGTGGTGGACTTTTGGTGGAGGAACCAAACTCATCATACACTGTAAGTACCAGATATTTCTTTTACACAGATTATTCAGCATTTTGCATAAATAATGTGGTAAAAAAAGAAATAAATGTGGGTGTTTTATATGTTGCATTTTATTTTATTTTTTCATTATTAAAGCTTGGCTGATGTCATATTTTGGCAAGCTTTATGCAGAGATAAATGTATTTTTAGTGCTATAGATAATGTTATTCAACAGATATTTGATTGAAAAAAATATATAATATAAAAGTCTTTTGGCAATAAAATATCACCACAAGTGTGGTTACAAAATTTGTCTGAGCAACATTTTAATATTTGGGCAAAAACACAACATTTTTAATTATCCTATGTTTTAATGTTTGTTAGGTATAAAATCTGATGTGAATGCTGTTAAAACAAGTGAATTAATTTGTACGTACAGTGTAGCTGCAGATTGTGTTCACAGTTCATAAGTTTGAAATGGTGAAAAGGAAGTGAAACAGACAGATGACAAAGTCTTTAACTGAATACAGACATTATTGCATGGTTATTATTTTTATTTATGTCTTTTCATTTTATTGTTGTATTATATGTTATTTTGCGCCTCATGTGAGCTGTTATGTCTTTTATTTATGATGTCTTATTTATTCTCCTGTACAGCACTTTGGTCAACTTTGGTTGTTTTAAAGTGCTTAACAAATAAAGTTGGATTGGATTGGATTGGATTATGTTTTTAAAACAAGAAAATCATTGGAGAGATTACTTATTTACTGTCAAACATGATAAAACATGAAACTATAGGTTAAGGATCAGTTATTAGAAATATCTATTACATTTACAAATAAGTAATGTTAGATTTATTTGTACACAGCTAATCCACAGCAGTGTTAACCTCTGTCATGTATCATAAGTGTCTCATGTTCAGCTGTCTGTCCTACAGATACAGTTAATCTGCTCCTTGTGTGTCTCTGCTCTCCCCTCCAGCTGGCCCCATGGTCAGGCCCTCAGTCTCTCTGCTTCCCCCCTCCTCTGAGCAGCTCTCTGGGGGCTCGGCCACGCTGGCCTGCCTGCTGACCAGCTACTCTCCTCAGGGAGCCGCGGTGAGTTGGGAGGTGGATGGTACGGAGGTGACAGAGGGGGTCCAGACCAGCTCAGAGGAGGAGAAGAGCGGACGCTACAGCAGCAGCAGCACCCTGAGCCTGAGCCAGGAGCGCTGGATGAAAGGAGAGCTGTACTCCTGCAAGGTCCTCCATCATGACCACAGCCAGACCCAGTCCCTCCACAGGAGCCAGTGTGAGGGCTAGAGGGGCTCACTAAAGCCCAGGACAGGAGCTCTGTGTGGGGGGAGCAGAAGGAACAAACCTGCTGCTCTGATCAATATGAGTTTTAATGTTTGTAGAAGAAACTAAAGCTTTGTGAGACAGAGAACAACACTGCTGTAAAGTGTTGGACAACAACAACTTAGAGAGTAATGTGTGTAGCTCGGCAGCTAGATGTGAGTGTGCTTAATAACTGTCATGTTGATGATTGATGTTTTTGCTAATAAAGCTTGAACTGATAAATAACTTTATGAAGTGTTTGGTCTTTTATGTTACGAAGAGTAGAAAGAAATTATAATTTTTTGCACATTAAGGTCATTGAAATCTGTGTCTCCCAACGCCCCCAAACATACAACTAAGAGGTTGGAGCACCAATCAGCATCATCTGCAGTGCAGAGCCTCTGGAGCAGTTTCAGGGTTCGGTGCCTTGCTCAATGGCACTTAAGCAGAGAGGGTGGGCACTGTAGATGTGATACCAGCAACCATGAACCATGAGAAAGCTGTTTGTCTTCTTTTTCATTTACTTACAGGGTTTACTGTAAATAAATATTATATTTTTAACACTGCTTAATATGAGTTTCTAATTATATTGCATTTTGAGAACAAAATCATCCGGATTAAATTATTAGAAATATTTGTTTGTTTGGGCTTCTGCAATTTTATCTTGTTTTATGCAGCTATTGGTGGAGACAATGTGGCTATAGTACAAAATGAATTTAACTTTTCCAGCATACTCATAAACAAATTCAAGTCAGTGACTGTAACAACTGTATTTGGAAGAGTGTCTGTGAGTTCGTTTCAGTTTTATTTAGATTCATTGTGGTTCTGCTTGATGACTGTTGTGTGCACTGAACCATTTATCCTCTTCACGGTCTCTTCACCAACCCTCTGCACCTGCAGCAGGCCGATTTAACTTCAGTCAAACTGAAGGAGGTTTTTGTACGGCTCTAAATCACTGTGTGAACGCTCCACCACCATGGAAGCCCAGACAGAAATAATCTCCAGCATCTTCAGCCTCAACACCACTGATGGTCAGAGTGTAGTGGGAACCAGATCTACTGCCACTGAATCGAGACGGAGTTCCCGAGTTTAGAGTTGATGCCTGGTATATAAGAAGGTTGGGAGCCTGTCCAGGTTTCTGAAGGTACCAACTGAGATCAGCACCAATATTTGAACTCCCTGTGGCGCTGATGGTCACAGTCCCTCCAGGACTAAAAGACTTGGATTTGTCAGTCTGAGTCAGAAAATTGTTTGCAGAAGACTCTGAAATGAAAAAAATAAATATAAATCTTGAGAATCAGCAGTTCAGATTATAATAAATTAGTCACTGAATAAGGGTAAAGGTAAAAGGCAAGGTAAGTGATATTTACACTGAAAATAACAATTTAACAGGTTTTGATAAATTGTATAAAAACTTCTCACCCTGACTCAGAAAACCCAACATGACAAACAGAGTTATTGGCAACTTCATCCTGATGCAGTTTTCAGTGTGAGTGCATGAAAACAGTTCAGACTCTCTGTGACATCAGAACTTAAACTCTGAGGAGCAGTGATGCTTTAAAATCATGCAAAACATATGTGGACACACCTGTCTTTGTCAAACTGTGAGGAAGAGATGAGGTGGAGTAAGTATAGGTTCCATCTCCCTGTGGACTGATTAAGCAAATGTAGAAACTTTAGACTTTCTGTTCTTCATCTCTCTGAATGTTTCTGACTTTGCAAAGTCTCCCAGAAGCCTTTGTGCTCATAAATAGATGCAGGCTGCCCTCTGCTGGGAACAACATGATATTGATTTTGTAAAGTATTTTCATGATCATGTATCAATCTGTTCATCATGTTTCAGTTGTGATAGTAGAACAAATAAATTATACATTCAAACAGACACTATTAATGTAACTTAACCTCAGTGTCACCAGGCTTTTATTTTCAGAAAATACGTTTTATTTTCCTAGGCTATTATTAGCATTCAGTCGTTAGCACTGTTATCTCCTAGCAAGAAGCTCCTGAAGGTTTGACTCCCGGTTGGGGCAGGCCTTTCTGTGTGGTGTTTGCATGTTCTTCCCATCTTTCCTCTGGGTGCTCTGGTTTCCCCCTCCATCAGTGCCCATTCTTTAAAGTACTTAAGATGGGTCAAATACAAATAATGTATTTCCCCATGGGGAAGTATATTCTTAATTAAATTTATTTTATGACTAAGATTTTACATCAAAAACATATGATTATCTTATAAAAGAGGATGCAAAAGCTAAATGCTAATTTTGATGAAGAACATTTTGACATTCGCATTATTTCCTTATTTTGAGGTCCTACATTCTCCAGTGCTGCATGTGTAAAAACTTATATTAATGATTGCAAAATTAACCCATTCTCCACTTAAATTTTTATTTTTTCTCCCCTTTTCCCCTGCCCTTTAAAATCCAATATGTAGAAGCATATTAAAGTAGTAGCTCTTCCCTATGGCCACAAAGAGACTTGCACATTTCCTAAAGAGCAAAGATACAAAATTACCATTAAATATTATTACACCAAATAAGAAAATATTTCATAATCTCATCAACAAATGTATTTAAAAATTTCAATATTTGCCAAAAAGTCAATCACAGAGAAAGAAATGTATGTTATCCTACACAGTGACATTATTGACCTCACTATAATAATTAGGCCCCAGAGTGAGGGCCCAGAAAACACAGACAGGATTGAATCAGAAAGCTGCCTTCAGAGGCAGTAAGGTAATGTTCAGAACTTTTAATCATGCCAAAAAAAAGGTCAGAAGTCAAAAAACAGACAGAACAGGCAGAAAGAGGCCAGCGCAAGTGGAGCTTCACCAGTATATGAATGAGTGACTGATAAGGGGAATGAGAGGCAGGTGAGGAGATTGCCGGGAAAGCTCAGATGAGCGGAAACACGGGTGGGAGTGGCAGAATCAGTAATGACTGGAGAGGTAGTGAGAAGGCAGCTAAACACAGGGCAAAAACACATAAAACAAAGTCTGTAGCAGTATGTTTTTTTTAATTGATAATAAAAATGTTGGATTGATTATGTAAATATTGATGGCACTATTTTGTTAATTTAAATTTTCATATGTCAAAAGGAACATATGATAAATAACACATGAACAATACATTTTCTGATGTTCATATTATCAGGCAATACACATTTTCTCTATTTTTGACAGTAAATATGAACAGAATGCGATGTGTCATTAGAATAAAAATATATATTTTATAAAGATTATCAAAAAAAAACTTTTATTAATTTATTAGTGTGAATGTGTAGTTTGTGCTTGGTGAGGTTACTGTCAGCAGAATTTTTTTTAATTTACATTTATTAGTTTCATTAATTTACATTAAAACTGTTTTTAAAATGTGATTCCTGTTAAACACGAACATGATCTTAGCGTTAAATGCAGCTTATCTTTGTGTTCACGGTTCATTAATTTTACATGTAGTGAAAAGGAAGTGAAAGAGACAGATGACAAAGGTTTTAACTGTATTCACATGAGTGTTTCAGCTCTGTCAGTTTAAACAGAAGAAAATCATCACAGGGATGAGTTATTCACTGTCACACATTATAAGACACAGATGAAGATGTCATCAATAGTCATCATCAATTAACCTTTTTAGTTGCATTTACACTTGAACCCTGGACCCTGACCGCTGCTCAGAGTAAAGAAACAACAGCACTGAATCTGCTGAGACAAATTCTTCCCTTAGAAACAAATCCAAGATGCTGTATTGAAGGTCTGCTTAACTAACATGTGACATTCTGCATTTCATTTGTCTTCAATTCTTTCCTTAAACATTTATACTTTCTTACAGTCACATGCTGTATTCTTTGTGCTTTTGTTAGAGAAATAAATATTTCATGCTCTCACGTTTCATCTGATAGTCATTTTTATGGACTTTAAAGAAATCATTACTGTTTGTTACATCTGCCGTTGTTTTATTCTTGGAGGAACAAAAGTCAGATATCATGTTCATGTAAATCTGACTTTCACTTCCTCTTTGACTGATTATGAACTTAATTTCTGTAGAATGTAACGTTATGGTGTCCTTTGAGAGGGTCTACAGGGAAACCTTGAAAATGATGGGAATCTATCATCTAACTAAAACATGAACTGCCAAAACAAAAATACATTAGAGCAAAACATTTACATTATCATTTTCATTAAAGAAAATGTGTGGTATCATTCTCAAGGGAAGTATAAATGTGCAAGATGCATCAGAGTATTTCTGTTTTTCTGACTGACTTTAGATTTAAGAAAATGAATTACATAATTCTCAATGAAAGTACAAGTAAAAGCTTTGTGTTGTATTCTTATGAAATATAAATACTTTCATGCCAGTTATCTGAAAGTGTGCTCAGAACTAGAGTGAATAGACTTTGTTACGTTCCACCTCTGAAACTACAGAGTGATTGTCAGTGAACCAGTCGACCATGTCAGTCTGATGCAGAAACTCAATGCTGCAACACAGCAAACTGTATGTGGTCTGACTGAGGGAGGTTTTTGTACGACGATAAATCACTGTGAGACCCACTCGTATATGCTCCCATACAGTAGTAGTCTCCTGCATCCTCAGCCTGAACCCCACTGATTGTCAGAGTGAATTCAGGTTCAGATCCACTGCTGCTGAAACGACTCGGAGTACCAGACTGATGGCTACTTATTTTGTAAAACAACAGTTTGGTAGGCTGTCCAGGTTTCTGCAGGTACCAACTGAGATCATCATCAACTCCTGTACTGGCTGTACAGCTCAGAGAGACCGTCTGTCCCACACCAACAGACTTTGATACAGGAGACTGAGTCACAGATGGATTGGCATCTGATCCTGGAGATTAAATGAAAGTTTAAATACATTTTTAAGAAATTTGTGCATGAAAATGTATTTCCGTTAGCACAGAAATTAAAATAACTTTTTATTTTAACTTTTTATTGAACATTTTCAAAGCCTAGATTCCACAATAACAGCAAACTGGTCATAAAAGAAACTCACTACTTCTCACCTTGAAGTCCTAACAGCAGCGTGGTCAGCAGTGGAATCAGTAACATCATCATGATGATTAATCTCACTGTCAGACAGACTGCACACACTTGTCTCAGTGGTTCATCTTAAACTGGTTTAGGAGCAGTGATGCATTCAGTCATTCAAAGCAGCACCTTCATCATCAAACAAATATATGTGTTTGTGTGAGGAGAGAAAATGTTTGGTTTAAATTCTAAAGAAAATCATCTGTCTGCAGTTACATCAGTTTCAGGCCAAATCTGTTCTCACTGAAGATTCATACAAACATATTTAACATATTTAATATTTGTCCAGGACTGTAATTTCATCTGTGCTGTATGTTGTGCATATAGCATATTTTGAAAATAAAGCTAACTTGACTGACTTGACTTGACTAAAACTGTAACAGTCAGAGAAAGTAGTGTAATCCTCGTTTGAGTTCATTTGTCACCACAAGTTAGAATTGGACAATACAATGTGTGTGCGGAAGTCATCACAAATCCAAGTTTACAAAAACAATTAATATTGGGACCAGAGAGGAGCTGGGGATCAAATATTAAATATATTTGTTCTTTGCTACACCAGAGTAGAGATTGAGACTGGGGGAAGATTAAGAGGACAAATGTTCCAGTAAGCAAGAGAAGGGATCCTATACTATACTTTAAAATAAGTGTTATGATATTCTGGTTATTTTTGTATCTTCTACTCTGGATCAACAACCATTATATAGTATATTTTGATATTTGTATTGGTTTGTATGTCTATCAGTGTGAGACATTTGTTTTAAAACAATGTTGGTAGAAATATTCTCTATCACTGGTAAGAACATGTTTCCAAAGTATTCTGTTCTAAACGATAATTTCATTTGATACAGACTTTGGACATTAGTTTTATTTATATTAGTCTTTTGGTTTGTTTTTGGTTTTGTTCATTGAGTTTGGTTTGAATTATGTTTGCTGGAAGAACAGCAACCAGGTCCAAGATGTAAATGTTTTTTTATCAGGATCACAGCAGACAGCGAGCCAAAAGATCATAAAAATTGAGAATACATAATGACCATCTAGAGATATAGTCAATAGGAATATTCTAGTGGCATTTACTAGTTTGGGGCCGAGTAGCTTCTCTAAATACGATGGTCTAAAAGTCTAAAGCAGCATATTTTTTGGCTCAGAAATAAAAGCTAATTTCTGAATGATTTGGGGCAGGTGGTTACAGGTGATTCAAAAAAATACTTTCTGAATTGGGGCATGGAATAAACAACGCTGTTGCAGTTAGAGGCCTGATCACTGGACTAAGGTATCTAGTATCTGCTTAAGTTTAAAAATGATTTAAAAATACTTTGAAAAGAAAACCAGAGATGAGAATAAAGTTTGTGTTTGGTGAGGTTACTGTCAGCTCTGTGTTCAGTGGTCTGTGTCAGAGTCTCTTCCTCTTCAGCAGCTGCAGTCGGTTCCTGCTGTAACAGCTCAGTGTCTCTGCAGTCTGACTGAGGGAGGTTTTTGTACGACGACAAATCACTGTGTGAACACCCTAGCACTGTTTATTTCGTGGTAACTCTGACAGTAATAAACTGCTGCATCTGCAGTCTGAACTCCACTGATGGTCATCTCAGCGTTCACTCCGTCTCCTCTGCCAGAGAATCTAGAAGAAAACTCGCTTGTAGGATTTTTACCCAAGTTGATGACCAATTTAGGAGCTTCTCCAGATTTCTGCTGATACCAATATACTCTACTATCTCCATCTGACCAAACATAAACCTTTGGGTTGGTTTTACAGGTCAGAGTGACTGAGGATCCAAGTGAAGATGTGACTACAGCAGGTTGATTCACAGTCACTTGACCATTAGATCCTGAAAAAATTAGGGGAAAAAAAGAGAAGTTAAGCAATCAGAACTGGGATTGTTAATAATTGAATTGCTTTAACTGGGATAAATCTGTATTTCATTTCAGAGTTAAAAAATACTGAATTTCTTTAATAACAATTCTGACCTCTAAGGCAGCAGCAGGCCAGCGTCCAGATGAGGATGGTGATGAGAGTCATGGTGGTTGTGGTTTCTGCTGTGTTGACTGACAGATCTGAGTCCTGCAGTGTTGAACTCACAGGACTATAAACCTTCTCAGTTCACTGGAGGATCAGCTGACGATGCAAAGCCTCCTCTCTATGGAAATTATTTCTCTGCTCTCAACACACTGAAGGCAACGTGGGACACAGAATCAGGAGAAATACTGCTTGGATTTACACCATCTATGATCTTAATGGAATACAAGGAAATATTTATATTAGAAGTGCAGTTGAGGATTTAAGGATAAGTTTGTGTCCACTGTGGTTGGTATGATATGTTTGTTTGTCTGCCTTGAATTTACTTACATTGTTTACTGTGGATAAATAAATATAAACACATTTCAGTTTTGCTTAATATGAGTTTGTAAAATATTATTATTTAAAAGCATCAGGTGCATTTGATTATTTAATAACTGATATAAAACTGTGAAACAAATGACATTTTGTTACAAGGTGACTGTAATAGTTTCCCTGTCAGGTGTAGAAAAGTGAAAAAAAAAAAAATTTATTTATACACTAATTTCAATCCATATAACTAAAAAGGTTTTGTAGATTCAATAAAGTTTATTCTTTCTATGTTTTTAGTACAATTAGAGAGTGTTTTCAGTGGATAGATGTTTGTTCACAGTGCAGGAGGTTTTTGTACGGCCACTTAATGAGTTGGTATCACTGTGGTGGACTTTTGGTGGAGGAACCAAACTCATCATACACTGTAAGTACCAGAGATTTCTTTTGTACAGATTATTCAGCATTTTGCATAAATAATGTGGTAAAAGAAGAAATAAATGAGGGTGTTTTGTATGTTACATTTTATTTTATTTTTTCATTATTAAAGCTTGGCTGATGTCATATTTTGGCAAACTTTATGCAGAGATAAATATATTTTTTAGTACTATAGATAATGTTATTCAACAGATATTTGATTGAAAAGAAAATATAATATAAAAGTCTTTTGGCAATAAAATATCACCACAAGTGTGGTTACAAAATTTGTCTGAGCAGCATTTTAATATTTGGGCAAAAACACAACATTTTTAATTATCCTATGTTTTAATGTTTGTTAGGTCTAAAATCTGATGTGAATGCTGTTAAAACAAATAAGTGAGTTAATGTGTACGTACAGTGTAGCTGCAGATTGTGTTCACAGTTCATGAGTTTGAAATTGTGAAAAGGAAGTGAAAAAGACAGATGACGAAGTCTTTAACTGAATACAGACATCATGTTTTTAAAACAAGAAAATCATTGCAGAGAATAATTACTTACTGTCACAAACTGATGTTAAAATCTAGGATCAATTATTACAAATATCTATTACATTTACACGTAAGTCATGTTGCATTCATTGTCTAATTCTCAGTGCCACAGTAGACGATTCATTATTATAAATGTCAAAATTGAATCAAGTTTTATCCTTTTGTTTTACTTACTCCTCCCATGTCTCACCTCCTCGCCTCTGTCTGATCACAGTATCGTGCACACAGCTAATCCACAGTAGTGTTAACCTCTGTCATATATCATAAGTGTTTCATGTTCAGCTGTCTGTCCTACAGAGGAAGTTAATCTGCTCCTTGTGTGTCTCTGCTCTCCCCTCCAGCTGGCCCCATGGTCAGGCCCTCAGTCTCTCTGCTTCCCCCCTCCTCTGAGCAGCTCTCTGGGGGCTCGGCCACGCTGGCCTGCCTGCTGACCGGCTACTCTCCTCAGGGAGCCACGGTGAGCTGGGAGGTGGACGGTATGGAGGTGACAGAGGGGGTCCAGACCAGCTCAGAGGAGGAGAAGAGCGGACGCTACAGCAGCAGCAGCACCCTGAGCCTGAGCCAGGAGCGCTGGATGAAAGGAGAGCTGTACTCCTGCAAGGTCCTCCATCATGACCACAGCCAGACCCAGTCCCTCCACAGGAGCCAGTGTGAGGGCTAGAGGGGCTCACTGAAGCCCAGGACAGGAGCTCTGTGTGGGGGGAGCAGGAGGAACAAACCTGCTGCTCTGATCAATATGAGTTTTAATGTTTGTAGAGGAAAGTAAAGCTTTGTGTGACAGAGAACAACACTGCTGTAAAGTGTTGGACAACAACAACTTGGAGAGTAATGTGTGTAGCTCAGCAGCTAGATGTGAGTGTGCTTAATAACTGTCATGTTGATGATTGATGTTTTTTCTAATAAAGCTAGAACTGATAAATAACTTTATGAAGTTGTTGGTCTTTTATGTTACAAAGAGTAGAAAGAAATTATAATTTTATTGCCCATTAAGGTCATCGAAATCTGTGTCTCCCAATGCCCCAAAACATACAACTAAGAGGTTGGAGCACCAATCAGCATCATCTGCAGTGCAGAGCCTCTGGAGCAGTTTCAGGGTTCGGGCCTTGCTTAATGGCACTTAAGCAGAGATGGTGGGCACTGTATATGTGATACCAGCAACCATGAACCATGACAAAGCTGTTTGTCTGCTTTTCATTTACTTACAGGGTTTACTGTAAATAAATATTATATTTTTAGCACTGCTTAATATGATTTTCTAATTATATAGCATTTTGAGAACAAAATCACCTAAATGAATTTAACTTTTCCAGCATACTCATAAATAAATTCAAGTAAGTGACTGTAAAAACTGTATAAGGAAGAGTGTCTGTGAGTCTGTTTCAGTTTTATTTAGATTCATTGTGGTTCTGCTTGATGACTGTTGTGTTCACTGGACCAGTTATCCCCTTCACAGTCTCTTCACCAACCCTCTGCACCTGCAGCAGGCCGATTTCATTTCAGTCAAACTGAAGGAGGTTTTTGTACGGCTCTAAATCACTGTGTGAATGTCCCATCGCTATGCAAGCCCAGACAGTAATAATCTCCAGCATCTTCAGCCTGAACACCACTGATGGTCATAGTGTAGCGAGAACCAGATCTACTGCCACTGAATCGAGACGGAGTTCCCGAGTTTAGAGTTGATGCCCAGTATATAAGAAGTTTGGGAGCCTGTCCAGGTTTCTGAAGGTACCAACTGAGATCAGCACCAATATTTGAACTCCCTGTGGCGCTGATGGTCACAGTCCCTCCAGAACTAACAGACTTGGATTTGTCAGTCTGAGTCAGAAAATTGTTTGCAGAAGACTCTGAAATGAAAAATTAAATATAAATCTTGAGAATCAGCAGTTCAGATTATAATAAATTAATAGTCATTGATTAAAACAGATTTGAGGTAAAAGGCAAGGTAAGTGATATTTACACTGAAAATAACAATTTAACAGGTTTTGATAAATTGTATAAAAACTTCTCACCCTGACTCAGAAAACCCAACATGACAAACAGAGTTATTGGCAACTTCATCCTGATGCAGTTTTCAGTGTGAGTGCATGAAAACAGTTCAGACTCTCTGTGACATCAGAACTTAAACTCTGAGGAGCAGTGATGCTTTAAAATCATGCAAAACATATGTGGACACACCTGTCTTTGTCAAACTGTGAGGAAGAGATGAGGTGGAGTAAGTATAGGTTCCATCTCCCTGTGGACTGATTAAGCAAATGTAGAAACTTTAGACTTTCTGTTCTTCATCTCTCTGAATGTTTCTGACTTTGCAAAGTCTCCGTTGAAGCCTTTGTGCTCATAAATAGATGCAGGCTGGCATTCCAGGTTCAATAACTTAATACATGATATTGATTTTGTAAAGTATTTTCATCATCATGTATTAATCTGTTCATCATGTTTCAGTTGTGATAGTAGGACAAAGAAATGTGTTCAGTGGTTAGCGTTGTTATCTCCTAGCAAGAAGCTTCTGAAGGTTTGACTCCCGGTTGGGGCAGGCCTTTCTGTGTGGTGTTTGCATGTTCTCTCTATCTTTCCTCTGGGTGCTCTGGTTTCCCCCTCCATCAGTGCCCATTCCCTATAGTACTTAAAATGGGTCAAATGCAGAGAATGTATTCCCCCATTTATTTTATGACTGAGATTTTACATCAAAAACATATGATCATCTTTAAATAGGATGCAAAAGCTAAATGCTAATTTTGATAAAGAACATTTTGACATTCGCAATATTTCCTTATTTTGAGGTCCGACATTCTCCAATGTGTAAAAAAATATATTAATGATTGCAAAATGAACCCATTCTCCACTTAAATGTTTTTTCTTTCTTTTCCCCTGCCCTTTAAAATCCAATATGTTGAAACATATTAAAGTGGTAGCTCTTCCCTATGGCCACAAAGAGACTTGCACATTTGCTAAAAAGCAAAGATACAAAATGACCATTAAGTATTATTACACCAAATAAGAAAATATTTCATAATCTCATCAACAAATGTATATTTCAATATTTGCCAAAAAGTCAATCACAGAGAAAGAAGTGTATGTTATCCTACACAGTGACATTATTGACCTCACTCTGGGGTCAATTTGGGCCCCACAGGGCAAAAAGACATAAAACATAGTCTGTAGCAGTGTGCTTTTTTTTAATTGATAATAAAATTGTTGGATTGATTATGTACATATTAATGGCACTATTTTGGTAATTTCTAATAATTCTATAATTTAAAGTTATAAAGTAATATGTCAAAAGGAACATATAATAAATAACACATGAACAATACATTTTCTGATGTTCATATGATCAGGCAATACACGTTTTTTCTATTTTTGACAGTAAATATGAACAAGTGCAATGTGGCATTAGATAAAAAAATGTATTTTATAAAGATTATCAAAAAAAAACTTATATTAATTTATTAGTGTGAATATGTAGTTTGTGCTTTGTGAGGTTACTGTCAGCTCTGTGTTCAGTGGTCTGTGTCAGAGTCTCTTCCTCTTCAGCAGCTGCAGTCGGTTCCTGCTGTAACAGCTCAGTGTCTCTGCAGTCTGACTGAGGGAGGTTTTTGTACGACGACAAATCACTGTGTGAACACTGGGCCACTATGGACACTCTGACAGTAATAAACTGCTGCATCTTCAGTCTGAACTCCACTGATGGTAAAAGTGAAATCAGAGCTGCTTCCACTGCCACTAAACCGAGCTGGTGTTCCTGAATGTCTTATGCTGACATGTCTTATTAGGAGCTTTGGAGACTGTCCAGATTTCTGTTGATACCAGAACATACATTCACCAGCACCACAACTTCCAACAGCTTGGTTTGTTTTACAGCTGATAGTGACAGTGGATCCTGGAGTAGATATCTTTACTGGAGGCTGAGTCACAGTCACCTGACCGCTGCATCCTGCAGACAAAAACAAATCATTCATTTATCAGCAGAAAGAAATGAGAGAAAAGGCAGCACATCGTGTTTGAAATGTTGCTGAGTAAATGAACCTGTAAAACAGCAGCAGGCCAGCGTCCAGATGAGGATGGTGATGAGAGTCATGGTGGTTGTGGTTTCTGCTGTGTTGACTGACAGATCTGAGTCCTGCAGTGTTGAACTCACAGGACTATAAACCTTCTCAGTTCACTGGAGGATCAGCTGACAATGCAAAGCCTCCTCTCTATGGAAATGATTTCTCTGCTCTCAACACACTGAAGGCAACGTGGGACACAAAATCAGGAGAAATACTGCTTGGATTTACACCATCTATGATCTTAATGGAATACATATAGATTATATTAGAAGTGCAGTTGAGGATTTAAGGATAAGTTTGTGTCCACTGTGGTTGGTATGATATGTCTGTTTGTCTTCAATTTACTTACATTGTTTACTGTAGATAAAATAACACATTTCAGTTTTGCTTAATATGAGTTTGTAAAATACTATTATTTAAAAGCATCATGTGCATTTGACCATTTAATAACTGATATAAAACTGTGAAACAAATTACTTTGTTACAAGGTGACAGTAATAGTTTCCCTGTCAGGTGTAGAAAAGTAAAAAATAATATTTATTTATACACTAATTTCAATCCATATCATTAAAAACATTTTGTACATTCAATATAGTTAATTATTTCTGTGTTATTAGTAAGATCAGAGAGTGTTTTCAGTGGATAGATGTTTGTTCACAGAGCAGGAGGTTTTTGTACGGCCACTTAATGAGTTTGTATCACTGTGGAGGACTTTTGGTGGAGGAACCAAACTCATCATTGACTGTAAGTACCAGAGATTTTTATTTCATACAACATATAGCAAATATGACTATTATCAAATATTGAATGAGACTCTGATCAGTTCAGTGTTTGTATGTTGCTGATTATTTTTGTTATTTTAGCAAATAAGGCTGATCTCACCATCTGAGAGTAAACCTCACAGAAACCAACATTTATTTAACATTAAAAATGTACAGAAACAAAATTGTTTAACTGAAAAATAATTTAATTTATTTATTTCATTAATTAAAATTAAAATTTAAAATGTGATTCCTGTTAAACACGAACACGATCTTATCGTTAAATGCAGCTTATCTTTGTGTTCACGGTTCATTCATTTTACATGTAGTGAAAAGGAAATGAAAGAGACAGATGACAAAGGTTTTAACTGTATTCACATGAGTGAGTGAGTGTCAGTGTCAGTTTAAACAGAAGAAAATTATCACAGGGATGAGTTATTCACTGTAACACATTATGAAACACAGATGAAGATGTCATCAATAGTCATCATCAATTTACCTTTTTAGTTGCATTTACACTTGAGTGTTGATGTGTCTGATGGTCTGATACTGAGTGATTTATGAGTGCAACAGCAGCACAAGTTATTCTGTTTTATTGAATCAAATATAGAAAATTACTAGTATGTAGTTTGTATTTGTTACCAAGCCTTCACTCTTATTACTTTCTCTTTTCTCCCCCTCTCCTCCAGTGGGTGTGGTGCGTCCCACCCTGACCGTCCTCCCCCCCTCCAGAGAGGAGCTGCAGAAGGACAGTGCCACACTGGTGTGTCTGGCCAGCGGGGGCTTCCCCTCAACCTGGAGTCTGGGCTGGAAGGTGGGGGGCAGCAGCAGCTCCTCAGGGGTGTCACACAGCCTGGAGGTCCTGGGGAGGGACGGCCACTACAGCTGGAGCAGCACCCTGAGCCTCTCTGCAGACCAGTGGAGGAAGGCGGGCTCAGTGAGTTGTGAGGCCAGTCTGAGTGGACAGAGCCCTGTCACTCAAACCCTGGACCCTGACCGCTGCTCAGAGTAAAAAAACAACAGCACTGAATCTGCTGAGACAAATTCTGCTCTTAGAAACAAATCCAACATGCTGTATTGAAGGTCTGCTTAACTAACATGTGACATTCTGCATTTCATTTGTCTTCAATTCTTTCCTTAAACATTTATACTTTATTACAGTCACATGCTGTATTCTTTGTGCATTTGTCAGAGAAATAAATACTTCATGCTCTCACGTTTTATCTGATAGTCATTTTTATGGATTTTAAAGAAATCATTACTGTTTGTTACATCTGCCTTTGTTTTATTCTTGGAGGAACAAAAGTCAGATATCATGTTCATGTAAATCTGACTTTCACTTCCTCTTTGACTGATTATGAACTTCACATAATTTCTGTAGGATGTAACGTTATGGTGTCTTTTGAGAGGGTCTACAGGGAAACCTTGAAGATGGGAATCTATCATCTAACTAAAACCTGAACTGCCAAAACAAAAATACATTAGAGCAAAACATTTACATGATCATTTTCATTTAAGAAAATGTGTGGTATCATTCTCAAGGGAAGTATAAATGTACAAGATGCATCAGAGTATTTCTGTTTTTCTGACTGACTTTAAAATTAAGAAAATAAATTACATAATTCTCAATGAAAGTACAAGTAAAAGCTTTGTGTTGTATTCTTTGGAAAGAAACTAGTGTCTTATGAAATATAAATACCTCCATGCAGGTTATCTGAAAGTGTGCTCAGAACTAGAGTGAATAGACTTTGTTACGTTCCATCTCTGAAACTACAGAGTGATTGTCAGTGAACCAGTCGACCATGTCAGTCTGATGCAGAAACTCACAGCTGCAACACAGCAAACTGTATGTGGTCTGACTGAGGGAGGTTTTTGTACGACGACAAATCACTGTGTGAACACCGGGCCCTTGTATACACCCATACAATAGTAGTCTCCTGCATCCTCAGTCTGCACCCCACTGATTGTCAGAGTGAATTCAGGTTCAGATCCACTGCTGTTGAAACGACTCGGAGTACCAGACTGACGGCTACTTATTTTGTAAAACAACAGTTTGGTAGGCTGTCCAGGTTTCTGCAGGTACCAACTGAGATCATCATCAACTCCTGTACTGGCTGTACAGCTCAGAGAGACCGTCTGTCCCACACCAACAGACTTTGATACAGGAGACTGAGTCACAGATGGATTGGCATCTGATCCTGGAGATTAAATGAAAGTTTAAATACATTTTTAAGAAATGTGTGCATGAAAATGTATTTCCGTTGGCACAGAAATGAAAATAACTTTTTATTTTAACTATTTATTGAACATTTTCAAAGCCTAGATTCCACAAAAACAGCGAACTGGTCATAAAAGAAACTCACTACTTCTCACCTTGAAGTCCTAACAGCAGCGTGGTCAGCAGTGGAGTCAGTAACATCATCATGATGATTAATCTCACTGTCAGACAGACTGCACACACTTGTCTCAGTGGTTCATCTTAAACTGGTTTAGGAGCAGTGATGCATTCAGTCATTCAAAGCACCACCTTCACCGTCAAACAAATACATGTGTTTCTGTGAGGAGAGAAAATGTTTGGTTTAAATTCCAAAGAAAATCATCTGTCTGCAGTTACATCAGTTTCAGGTCAAATCTGTTCTCACTGAATATTCATACAAACATATTTAATATTTATCCATAAAACTGTAACAGTCAGTTACAGAGAAAGTAGTTTAATCCTCAGTTGGGTTAGTTTGTCACCACAAGTTTGGACAATACAATGTGTGTGTGGAAGTCATCACAAATCCAAGTTTACAAAACAATTAATATTGGGATATATATATATTCTTTAAATATTTTTGTTCTTTGCTACACCAGAGTAGAGATTGAGACTGGGGGAAGATTAAGAGGACAAATGTTCCAGTAAGCAAGAGAAGGGATCCTATACTATACTTTAAAATAAATGTTATGATATTCTGGTTATTTTTGTATCTTCTACTCTGGATCAACAACCATTATATAGTATATTTTGATATTTGTATTGGTTTGTATGTCTATCAGTGTGAGACATTTGTTTTAAAACAATGTTGGTAGAAATATTCTCTATAACTGGTAAGAACATGTTTCCAAAGTATTCTGTTCTAAACGATGATTTCATTTGATACAGACTTTGGACATTAGTTTTATTTATATTAGTCTTTTGGTTTGTTTTTGGTTTTGTTCATTGAGTTTGGTTTGAATTATGTTTGCTGGAAGAACAGCAACCAGGTCCAAGATCTAAATGTGTTTTTATCAGGATCACAGCAGACAGCGAGCCAAAATATCATAAAAATTGAGAATACATAATGACCATCTAGAAATAAAGTTAATAGGAATATTCTAGTAGCATTTACTAGTTTGGGGCCGGATAGCTTCTCTAAATACGATGGTCTAAAAGTCAAAAGCAACATATTTTTGGCTCAGAAATAAAAGCTAATTTCTGAATGGGTTTGGGGAAGGTGGTTACAGGTGATTCAAAAAAATACTTTCTGAATTGGGGCATGGAATAAACAACGCTGTTGCAGTAAGAGGCCTGATCACTGGACTAAGGTATCCAGTATCTGCTTAAGTTTAAAAATGATTTAAAAATACTTTGAAAAGAAAACCAGAGATGAGAATAAAGTTTGTGCTTGGTGAGGTTACTGTCAGCTCTGTGTTCAGTGGTCTGTGTCAGAGTCTCTTCCTCTTCAGCAGCTGCAGTCGGTTCCTGCTGTAACAGCTCAGTGTCTCTGCAGTCTGACTGAGGGAGGTTTTTGTACGACGACAAATCACTGTGTGAACACCCTAGCACTGTTTATTTTGTGACGACTCTGACAGTAATAAACTGCTGCATCTTCAGCCTGAACTCCACTGATGGTCAAAGTGAAGTCAGCGTCTTTTCCACTACCACTAAACCGAGCTGGTGTTTCTGATTGAAGTGTGCTCACAGATTTTATGAGGAGCTTTGGAGGCTGTCCAGAAGCCTGTTGATACCAGTGCAAACAGTCATCTCCAGCACATAACAAATTAACAATTGGGCTGCTTTTACAGCTGATAGTGACAGTGGATCCTGGAGTAGATGTCACTACTGGAGGCTGAGTCACAGTCACCTGACCGCTGCATCCTGCAGACAAAAACAAATCATTCATTTATCAGCAGAAAGAAATGAGAGAAAAGGCAGCACATCATGTTTGAAATGCTGCTGAGTGAATGAACCTGTAAAACAGCAGCAGGCCAGCGTCCAGATGAGGATGGTGATGAGAGCCATGGTGGTTGTGGTTTCTGCTGTGTTGACTGACAGATCTGAGTCCTGCAGTGTTGAACTCACAGGACTATAAACCTTCTCAGTTCACTGGAGGATCAGCTGACGATGCAAAGCCTCCTCTCTATGGAAATTATTTCTCTGCTCTCAACACACTGAAGGCAACGTGGGACACAAAATCAGGAGAAATACTGCTTGGATTTACACCATCTATGATCTTAATGGAATACAGGGAAATATTTATATTAGAAGTGCAGTTGAGGATTTAAGGATAAGTTTGTGTCCACTGTGGTTGGTATGATATGTTTATTTGTCTGTCTTCAATTTACTTACATTGTTTACTGTACATAAATAACACATTTCAGTTTTGCTTAGTATGAGTTTGTAAAATACTATTATTTAAAAGCTTCATGTGCATTTGATTATTTAATAACTGATTTAAAACTGTAAAAAAAATGACTTTGTTACAAGGAGACTTTAATACATTTCTCTGTAAGGTGTAGAAAAGTAAAGAATGATCTTTATTTATACAGAAATTTCAATCTATATCACTAAAAGGTTTTGTATATTCAATAAAGTTGATTCTTTCTGTTTTATTAGTAAGATCAGAGAGTGTTTTCAGTGGATAGATGCTTGTTCACAGTGCAGGAGGTTTTTGTACAGCCACTTAATGAGTTTATATCACTGTGGAACACTTTTGGTGGAGGAACCAAACTCATCGTTGATTGTAAGTACCAGAGATTTTTATTATATACAACATACTGAAAATAACTATTGTCAAATATTGAATGAGACTCTGAGCAGTTCAGTGTTTGTATGTTGCTGATTATTTGTGTTATTTTAGCAAATGAGGCTGATCTCACCATTTGAGAGTAAACCTCACAGAAACCAAAATTTATTTAACATCTTAATGTTAAAGAAACAAAAAATAAATTGTTTAACTGAAATATATAGTTCATTTTCATGATAAGTTTGAATTATTATTCATTTAGAAATGCTTGAAATTAGAACGTTGTCTATTTTCATTTGTTAAAAAAATAACATCAATTTATAAATATCAGTTAAATTTTTTAATTTACATTCATTAATTTTAAACATTCAAACAGTTTCTAAGAACACGAACACGATCTTATCGGTAAATGCAGCTTATCTTCACGGTTCAGTGAAAAGGAAGTGAAAGAGACAGATGACAAAGGTTTTAACTGTATTCACATGAGTGTTTCAGTTCTGTCAGTTTAAACAGAAGAAAATCATCACAGGGATGAGTTATTCACTGTCATACATTATGAAACACAGATGAAGATGTCATCAATAATCATCATCAATTTACCTTTTCAGTTGCATTTACACTTGAATCATGTGTCTGATGGTCTGATACTGAGTGATTTATGAGTGCAACAGCAGCACAAGTTATTCTGTTTTATTGGATCAAATATAGAAAATTACTAGTATGTAGTTTGTTTTTGTTACCAAGCCTTCACTCTTATTACTTTCTCTTTTCTCCCCCTCTCTTCCCCGATCCTCTCCTTCAGTGGGTGTGGTGCGTCCCACCGTGACCGTCCTCCCCCCCTCCAGAGAGGAGCTGCAGAAGGACAGTGCCACACTGGTGTGTCTGGCCAGCGGGGGCTTCCCCTCAACCTGGAGTCTGGGCTGGAAGGTGGGGGGCAGCAGCAGCTCTTCAGGGGTGTCACACAGCCTGGAGGTCCTGGGGAGGGACGGCCACTACAGCTGGAGCAGCACCCTGAGCATCTCTGCAGACCAGTGGAGGAAGGCGGGCTCAGTGAGCTGTGAGGCCAGTCTGAGTGGACAGAGCCCTGTCACTCAAACCCTGGACCCTGACCACTGCTCAGAGTAGAGCTTCAGCGACACTTCCTGTCTGGAAATGATGCTGCTTCTTTGATAGAGATCTTAATGAAGCTGCAGATCTCCTCTGTTCACATATTTCTGCAGGCTTCATAGCTTTCTACTCAGTGGTTTAGTTTGCATGTTGCTTTCTAATACTGATCTTCTGCATATGCTTCTTTATGTTCTTCACTTTTCAAATTCAAAATTAAATGTATTAGTTTCACTCCAAGAGAAACTGTTAATTTATCAAAAATGTGGCATAAACATTAAACATCATTAAATAAATCTGTGGATTATAATGAGTCAATGTCGTTTTATTTCTGAAATATTCATTATGAAAAACTCTTTCTTGATCATCTCCTTTTTATACCTAATATTATACTATACTCAGGTGATGGTTGTGTTTGAATAACTTTGTTACAATTTGATAGGAATTAGTGCATTTTGAGAATTAAATTATTAGTCATCATATTTTTTTATATGAAGAATAATCCTTTAGACGCTTTTCATTTAAGATTGTTTTCAGTACAAGAAAAGGTTTTCAGTTGACTATGGACCAAGAATTAAACTTTACCAGCTAGCCCATAAAGAGACTGAATTAAGTGACAAGGATGGAAGTTTATAACTGTATATGGAAAACCATTAGTGAGCTTGTTTCAGTTATATTTAGATTCATTGTGGTTCTGCTTAATGACTCTTGTGTTCACTGGACCAGTTTTTCTCTTCACCAACTCTCTGCACCTGCAGGAGGCTGTTTTCACTTTCATCCCTACTGAGGGAGGTTTTTGTACGGCTCTAAATCACTGTGTGAACACTGGGCCATTATGGACACTCTCACAGTAATAAACTGCTGCATCTTCAGTCTGAACTCCACTGATGGTCAAAGTGAAGTCAGAGCTGCTTCCACTGCCACTAAACCGAGCTGGTGTTCCTGAATGACTTATGCTGACATGTCTTATTAGGAGCTTTGGAGGCTGTCCAGATTTCTGTTGATACCAGAACATACAATCAATACCGCTACATTTTCCAACAGCTTGGTTTGTTTTACAGCTGATAGTGACAGTGGATCCTGGAGTAGATGTCTTTACTGGAGGCTGAGTCACAGTCACCTGACCGCTGCATCCTGCAGACAAAAACAAATCATTCATTTATCAGCAGAAAGAAATGAGAGAAAAGGCAGCACATCATGTTTGAAATGTTGCTGAGTGAATGAACCTGTAAAACAGCAGCAGGCCAGCGTCCAGATGAGGATGGTGATGAGAGTCATGGTGGTTGTGGTTTCTGCTGTGTCGACTGACAGATCTGAGTCCTGCAGTGTTGAACTCACAGGACTTTAAACCTTCTCAGTTCACTGGAGGATCAGCTGACGATGCAAAGCCTCCTCTCTATGGAAATTATTTCTCTGCTCTCAACACACTGAAGGCAACGTGGGACACAAAATCAGGAGAAATACTGCTTGGATTTACACCATCTATGATCTTAATGGAATACGTATAGATTATATTAGAAGTGCAGTTGAGGATTAAAAGATGAGTTTGTGTCCACTGTGGTTGGTATGATATGTCTGTTTGTCTGTCTATTAATTTGCTTACATTGTTTACTGTGATAAATAACACATTTTAGTGCTGCTTAATAGGAATCTCTAAATATACTGCATTTTGAGAACAAAATCAGTTGGATTAAATAATGTTGAAATGTTTGTTTGTTTATATTGTTTATTATATTGTTTTGTGCAGCTATTGGTCAGGACACTATTAAAGATTTTTCATTGGCTATAGTCCAGAATTAATTTAAGTTTTCCAGCATACTCATAAACAGATTCAAGTAAGTGACTGGAAATAAAAAAAACTTAACTGTATATGGAAGAGTGTCCGTAAGTCTGTTTCAGTTTTATTTAGATTCATTGTGGTTCTGTTTAATGACACTTGTGTTCACTGGACCAGTTATCTTCATCAGTTTCTTCACCAACCCTCTGCACCTGCAGCAGGCCGATTTCACTTCACTCAAACTGAAGGAGGTTTTTGTACAACTCTAAATCACTGTGTGAATGTTCCATAACCATGGTCACCCAGACAGTAATAATCTCCAGCATCTTCAGCCTGAAAACCACTGATGGTCGGTCAGAGTGTAGTGAGAATTGTGACATCAGAACTTAAACTCTGAGAAGCAGTGATGCTTTAAAATCATGCAAAACACATGTCTTTGTCTTTGTCAAACTGTGAGGAAGAGATGAGGTGGAGTAAGTATAGGTTCCATCTCCCTGTGGACTGATTAAACAAATGTAGAAACTTTAGACTTTCTGTTCTTCATCTCTCTGAATGTTTCTGACTTTGCAAGGTCTCCCAGAAGCCTTTGTGTTCATAAATAGATGGAGACTGCCCTCTGCTGGCATTCCAGGTTCACAACAACTTCATACATGAGATTGATTACACAAACTATATCCCAGGCTTTTACTTTCATAAATGAACCCTAACTTACCTTAACTTACCTACTAGGTTACCATTAGCATTCATAGGCATCCATGTGTTTTTTGCATTGCATCCTCTGAATACATGGAGACAGGATTGTACGGTGGATTGGTGGTCAGCACTGTCACTCCACAGCAAGAAAAGGCCTGAGTTTGAGTCCCAGGTGGTGCTGGCCTTAAAGCAGATGTAGAAACTTCAGACTTTCTGTTCTTCATCTCTCTGAATGTTTCTGACTTTGCAAAGTTAACCAGAAGTCTTTGTACTCATAAATAGGTGCAGGCTGCCCTCTGCTGGCATTCCCAGTTCACAACAACTTTATAGACAAGATTGATTTTGTAAAGTATTTTCATGAACATGTATCAATCTGTTCTTCCTGTTTCAGCCTTGATAGTGGGACAAATAAATTACAAACTTAACCTCAGTGTTCCCACGCTTTTATTACTTACTTCTTACCCTCCTAGGTTACCATTGGCACCCATCAGCATTCATGTGTTATTTTCATTGCATTATTTGAATACATAGAAGACATGGTTGTTCGGTTGTACAGTCTTATTGCAGCAGGCAGAACATACCTCCTAAAGCACTCCTCAGTGCAACATACTTGTAATAGTTTGTTGCTAAAGGAGCTTCTCTGCTCTGCCACAATGTCATGTAGGTGATGGGAGGGGTTGTCCTTAACAGCCAGGAGTTTGGTCCTCATCCTCCTATTGGCCACCTCTTGCACAGTGTCCAGGGTGACACAGAGGACAGAACTAGCTTTCCTAGTAAGCTTATTCAGCCTCCTGGTATCACCCTCCTTGATGCTGCTCCCCCAGCATGCCAGGGAGACAGCACTGCACTGGTGACCACTGACTGTTTAGTCCTGCCCACATCAAAAGACATGAGCCTCCTCAGGAAATAAAGCTGGCTCTGGTCCCTCTTGTATAGGACAACTGCGTTACCAGTCAGGTTTATTGTCCAAGTGCACTTCCAGGTACTTGTAGCTTTGGGCCACCTCCACATCCTCCCCCTGGATGGAAACAGGAGAAAAGGGGGGCCCAGTCCTCCTAAAATCCAATACCATCTTTTTTGTTTAGCTGATGTTGAGTAGCAGATGGTTCTGCTCATACCAGGCCTCTGTATGCCTGCCTGAAGTCAGAGGTATAGAGGCTGAAGAGGAAGGAGCCAGAACGGTCCCCTGGGGGGCACCAGTGCTACTCTCCAACCAGCCTGACACACAGCCTTGCAGCCATACAAACTGTGGCCTGTTGGTCAGAGTTTGTAATCCAGGAAACAAGGTGGCGGTCTACTTGCATCTGCAGCATCTTATCCGCAAGTAGTGAGGGCTGAAAATGGAAATACTCACGTAAAGCTACAGTAAAGACAACAACAACAATAACAATCCCTTATTTTATTCTCTTTTTATTGTAATACCTTCTTGTGTTTTTATGTTTCTCTACATCTGTATATCTCTTTCCGTCATGTAAAGTGTGCTACATGGACCTTACTACAGTACTTGATTAAGTGTGCTTAGTTACATTGCATGAGACAGTTATATTGCAAGACAAATATTCAAATCAGTGAGATGAAAAACAAATTGTGATCTCAATCGTGGTATCGAAACTTCTGTTTCCCCTTTTACAAAGAAAAAGAAATATGAAATAAAATAGAGATTCTGTAATTTGATTTAAAAAAAAACTAAGAAAAAATATATTTTGTAGATTTTTATCTAATAAGGGAATCTTATTATCTAATGCCAGGATAGCTCACCTGGTAGAGGTGGCACCCCACATACCAAGGCAGCTGCCATGGGCTCAACCCTGACCTGTGGCCCCCTGCTGTGTGTCACTCTTCAGCTGTCCCTATCAATTAAAGAAAATCTTATTGTGGACCCTGTATCTTATTGTATCGTGAGTTGCAAAACATTTGAGTAAAAAAAGCCCACATTTAACGTTTTTACAACACTGCTGTGTTTTTGAGAATTCACAATCATAAAACAAAATATTACAATAATATATTTTCTTACACCTCTGTAAACCATGCTCTACAGCTGGGTTCCCTGTGCGCCACAGTAAAAGTCAGGCTATCTGAAACATGACACCAGATAAAAAAAAAAGTTTTTGCTTGTAAAAATTAGGAAATGCGTGAAATATCAAGCAGCTAAAACAACAAGTGTGTGTTTTAGCTGTTAAAAAGGGGTTTGAACTCGCACATAACTCCTCTCTGTACCTTTCCCTTCAACCTACAGCACAAACCGTTGTTTTATCACCTGCTGCAGTGAACGTTGCTCAATGGAGCTCTGTGATTGGTCGGCGGGCGACTTTCAAACTCCTCCCCCCACTGCCACAGCAACTCGGCGTCAGCAGCCAACCAGCTCAGCTCAGCTCACCCAACGGCAAGTTTTCGGGTAAATCAAACAAAGGTTAGTAAAATAACCTCCTTTTTTCAACCGTGAATCCCACAAGCATCGGCACAGTGTAACACCTCTCTTGTTGTTGTCGGCCACAGGCTCAGGAAAAGCCCGAAAATGAGTCAGTTCAAGGAGCGCTTTGTGACTCTGCTCCATGAGAAGAACTTTGTGACAGATCAGTTGGCGAAGCTGGAAGAAAAAACGGGAGTGAAGAGAGAATATATCACCTTGGGTATGTATAAAGGATTTAATTTCCTTTTTTAAAACGTTGGAGAGATAATAAAATAACTTGCTTAAAGTCTCCACCAAAGAACTGGCTACATTCTCCATGTTTAGCTGGTAAGGTTGCCACCCAACCTGGCAACCCGGTTGTGGTCACACTGTTGCATGAGTTACTTTGGTTTTCTGTGTGGTTTCATATCCTGTGCCACTGTCTAAACTGTGTTTCAATTTATTACCCTTCACAAGCTCGAATACCAAAGTTCATCCAGCTCAGACCTTTATGCTACATTACAAGATTAGAGTTGGTGTATCACCCTCTTACACACACACACACACACACACACACACCTATTTCAAAATACTGCTGTTGTAAATGAACTGCTTCTAATATCTCAGGGCAAGCAGCAGCTGGCCCCTGGGGGGGATGTATTTTTATCACGTCCTGAAATATCCATAGCAAGGCAGATATGGGAAGAGATTCTAGGATGACTGCTTATTCAACTGCATGCTGCTCTCAGTTATGGCAGCTTATAGGGGCTGTGTGTGTGTGTGTGTGTGTGTGTGTGTGTGTGTGTGTGTGTGTGTGTGTGTGTGTTTGTTTTTACACTGTTCTGTTTGTCTGTTTGCACAGTGGATGTCAATAAAGGCCGAACACCTCCGGCTATGTAGTTAACATTTTGTCTAGGATGCCACTCACACTACAGGAAACACGTTAGCCAGGGTGACCTACATTCAAACCCACTGTCTTTGCTCCAAATTGATCCACACAAATGGGAGTTCACAGCGTAACATCGGTTTGCATTTAAACTGCCGATTTCAAGGTCACACAGGATGGGATTTGTAATTGAATATCTGTGGATGTTGAGTGCTGTATTAGAAAATCTTGTGTTCAGCTGCACTATATCAGACAGCCTGTTTGCAAAAAGCCCAGTGGGTATTTTCGCTATATTCAACTGAGGTTTACAGCATCAGATATAGAGAGCGGCGCAAACATTACACCCTGACTGATGTTGGATTTCGGAGGCCGATGATGTCCATAATATGCACTATGCTGCAAAAGCCGAAGAAGCTTTAAAGCTGAAAAATAGTCAAAGACAAAGTACATAATGGACACACGCTGTCAAAACTAGAGCTTAAAAGGTCAGTTGATTAATCGATGAGCGTTGACAGAAAATTGCCTAGCAGCAGTTTTGATAAGGCATAATCATTCGAGTAATGTTTTAAAGCAAAATGGAAACCGAGATTAGCTGCTTTTCTTTTCTCTTCTCCCCTCCATCTGGTTTTAAATTGAGTACCTTTGGGGTTTGGACTGTTGGTTGGACAAATTAAGATATTTGAAAATGTCAGCATGGGAAACCATGATGGACACCCCTAGCTATTTTCTGATATTTAACAAAACAAAACAAGATCAAGAAAAGGTTTTGGCATTTATTAGCTGCAGTTTCTTGGTGTGCATAGGCTGACACATATGATACTGATGTATCTGTGATGAGCTGATATGGGCTGACATATAAAGTCTGGCGATTTTATCAGTCTGGCTCTACCAGCGACAAACCCCTCTGAAGTATATTGAATAATTTTAATTGAATAAAAGAGGACACGTACCCACATTGCCCCTCTAACGATTAATAAAATGATCAAGAAAAGTTTGGGTATGCTGGTATGCTGTTGGTGTCAGTTAAAGCTTCGCCAGACCTGCATTTAAACACTTTTTTGTTTTTGTTCCACACAAACCACCAGACTAGCCTGCAAAACAAATACTGAGGATTGTATGCAAATACAACCCCACAGTACATTTGACTCATCTCTACCCTGCATTTAGCAGAAGGTAGAAGCAGACAGAGCAGCCAAATTATACCACGGCCTGTCCTGTTTGCAGAACTGTGCTGTTAGTTTCTGGTTACATGTAGCTTGTTAGTGAGGCAACAGCCATTCATTTCATACTTTGGCCACACTGCATACTTGTTACAAACATGTACACTAATAATCGGTTCCAGACAAGAAATTCTTGGCTCACTATGATGTTATGTTGTCCTTTGCCTTGATCCGGCCATGTCAGTCCGACAGAGTTACAAAGTACTGTCTTCTGTTTAGTTGAGAAACATTCATGCTAACTCTTGTGACTGCTGACTGGAGTAGGTCTCATCTCTACTGTGTGTGCAGCCAAACTCACTGAGCGAGCGTCCGTTGGTTGTTTGTTCGTGTTTTTAAAGTCAACTTCAACCACTCACCCCTCATAACAATTGTGGTTTGTGATGTTTGGATGCTAAGAGGAACTGGTTTTTCAGCCAAAATGCAACTACTGACCTGCAGCTCTAATGAGTAGTTTGACTCATACATTACAGGATTACACAACTGTGTAATTTTTTCAGTTTTTCCACGAGTAGGACATGTGTTTTCATTTAAGGCTGAAAAGTCTATGTTCTGTCTCATTGTTCATTTTCTTAGAGCAGCTCACAAGTTGAGCCAGATTGCATGCTGCTTTTGAAATGTTTGCAACCATCATTCAGCTTTTTATTATTCATCCCTGACTGACTAATTAAAAGTGTCAGTTTATGATTTCCCTATGTGAAGTGTTATTGTGCACACTACAGTGGCAGCCGATGTCTCTTCAGGGTCTTCATTTCAACCAGTTCTTCCGGTTTTCCCTTCATTGGATATAATATTACGTTTGGATATTTGTATATGAGCTGGGACAAACAAATGAGATGTAAAGAGCAGGCAATGGTTACAACAGTATCAAAGGCTTTTAGGGCTTTAGATAACGCATTACCTCATTATGTTCATGAAATGTGTGGTAGCTGAATTTTATATCAGCAGTTGAGTTCTGCATATATTTGAATGATATATGGCATTAAAGGTGCCTGCTTGAGGTCATTCCTCTTGACTTGTTCCCACAGAGACAAAAGCTCTGAAAAATATGTGGGATTGGAAATAGTTTTACAGGCCTGGGAGTTTAAAACATTAAGAAAACTTGAATAAAAAACATGCATTTGGAAAATCTAAGAAAAAACATGATTAATTTCGGATAAATCAATCACTTCAGGAAGAAATGGATAAGATAAAATGACTGGTCGGACTTTGAAATGTTTGCTTTGAAGTCAACATATTTCTGCCTGCTAACCAGCAGGGTGTATAAGCCCCTGAGGGATTAAGTCATGCAGCCAACTTTCTGTTGTTAAGAGTAAGCAGCATACAGTTGAGTTTATACAGAGCTGATTGTCCTGCAGGGTTTGTTTGTTTTTTGGTGGCCATTGTATTAGGTACACCTGTACTGTCTATTTCAGTTCAATACAACAGCTCTAGTTTCTAATGTTCAACAGTGTATAGTGTGTGTGAACACATCCCGGCTACACAAAGAGCTTCAAGCTCATTATTAAAGTTAGGACTGTCGACCGTGGACCAATCCTATTAGTATCTGGTGCCAATACTGATGCACTTCACTCGTCTGATATCGGATTGACGTCAGGATCTAGATACCGATACAGATTCCATAGTCTCATGGTTTTCATGATAGCAGTCAAGGGCTTTTTCGGGTGCCATAAGGATTTGCATAAGTTTTCACAGGTTACGGCATCGTTAAATAGGGAGTATTTACATATATGAGGGGAGAAGACTATTAGAAACAGCTGAATATAATGTAGCCCAGTATAACACCATCACTAACTGAGACTGAATTGATAGAATATATAATTTAAACCTCTTGGACAGTGTCAACAAAAGCATTGTAGGCACCATAAAAGTTGACTTTATGGCAGAAATGTTGTATTGGATATTATCACACTGTACAGGTGTGCCTAAAAAGTGGTTAATGAGTATGTATGTGTGAGAGAATGTATTCTACATTATACTAGTGTAAATGAAACTGGGGCTTGCAACTATTATTTTCATAATTTAAATTCAGTTTGCTATAATATATACGACAAAGAAAAGCATCAACACAGCAAATGTTTGATATGTTTGATTAAGAAAACAATTAAGTACCGAGCAATTCTAAAGATTGACTAGTCTTTTAGCTCTAAATGAAACTATTACCTTAAGCACCAAAATAGTATATATTATATGTGAAAATCCCAGTTTGTATTTAATAACATCTGTTACGATTGCTTTGTAGATTACACATACACTGTAATAGAAATGCAAACTTTGTTTCAGGTTATGGCAAACCATTGGCATTTGTGCAATCTCTCACATACTTGAGGTGTACAGCAGAGGCCAGGTTGTCTCACATGGCCATGTGAGCTTTGGAGTGTATTAAAAGTCAACTTTTCCACAAACTGGATTTGAGTATCAATGTTTGACTTGTGTTTAGTGCTCCTCCTAATCCTGGTACTGTGCTGGCCTGACATCCTGGAATCAGACGCACTATGTTGACAGAATATGAATGTGAATGGCTTAACATTAGACGCGTTTGTAACCGGGTAACCTTTCCCCCTCCCCTTTTTTTGGCCCGTCTTCTGCTCTCACCTCACTGCTGCCTCTCATCTTTCTCCCCCTGCAGGTCTTCTGAGTTTTCTCGGGCTGTATCTTCTGTTTGGATACGGAGCCTCACTGCTCTGCAACCTGATTGGCTTTGTCTATCCAGCATATTTCTCGTATGTATGAAGTTAAGCTCATTTTAATAAATGCCAAAACAACACATTTTGTAGAAAATGAATGCATTTAAAATGGTTATACACTTTTTAAAATTTAGTTTATGGATGCATATTTTAGTGCCAACCAGCAGGCATTATGATTTGTGGTAACAGGAAGCACGCTGGTGTATCTATAAATCCATAATTATGTGTACGCTGCACCAAGTTTGGTGACGCATCTAAATGGAATGCAGCCATTGTTAATTATTAATTGATTATACATGTGCTTTTCCTCATACAACATGTCAAAATGTGTGCTGTGAAAAAGGCCCATTTTGTCTTTTGTATTACAAATGAGAATGGATCTTACAGGTTTTTACTTTATGGACTAAAGAAAGACATTTTAATATGTTACAGTAGAAAAAGCACATGTATAAATGATCAAATTAATGATGTCTGAATTCCATTCAGATGCTTCAGTTTGAGGGTCCTGATCTTGTTCAATGAAAAATGAACTGGTCCCCGTAATAATTTCTCCTGTCCTTCCTGGCTGTAAAGGGATCTCTTCCCAGTGGTCTTTTTTCTTTGTGTTACTGTTGCAGCTCAGCAAGTATTTGGCTGTATTTGGCTAACTCTGGTTATCGCGTCATATAACCTCTGGATGTTATTCGCACAGAACAAAGACTTGCCAGGAAGGGGTTACATTACAGCCACTATAGAGTAGTGGCCAGTAAGTCTTTCATTGTATATATGGGCATGTGAGTGTTGAGCTAAGACCCACTTAGAGATGTATGTACAGCACATGTAGTGCAGCTTACAGCTACCCTTTGCATTTTTATTTTAGTTTAAACAAGCAGTTAGTTTTTAAATAATAAATGTTCTTCACATCCTCCATGCCTAACAAACATATTATTTCCTGCCACATAAAACAATTGGAAAACCATTTTTTTAATGATTTCAATATGCAGCCTCAAGTGTGTGCTGTTACTTTCATCACAAACTCTTCCACCACGTATCTTTAAATGCAGTTCAGCCTCAGTGACTTGGTAGTATATTTATGTAGTGTTTATGCTGTAATTTAAACCTGTCTTCCTCTTCATTTAGCATTAAGGCCATCGAGAGCAACATTAAGGAGGATGACACACAGTGGCTGACCTACTGGGTTGTTTATGGACTCTTCAGCATCGTCGAGGCCTTCTCTGACATCTTCCTCTTCTGGTTCCCCTTTTACTATGCCAGCAAGGTAGGCTGACCTTTTTGGTTTGAAGGGTGTTTCTGTGTGGATGATATTTGGTAGGTTTTTTGTCTTACTATTTTCACTGTCTAGTTACTATATAAAGTTGGCAACTGACTTAAGTCTGCTTTCACTGTGAAACCACAGTCATGTGGTGTTGAATCACATGAGGGTTGAAGTCTTTAGGGCCTCTACACTGTAGCTTTCCAACAGCGCACTCTTGTGGACAAGTCCTGTAATGGCAAAATAATGAAGATCCAGATCTGCTGTGCCTCACATTGTAAAACTCACAAAATTAAGCAAACTCAAAATATGCAGTATGCAAACTGAAACACTTTTGAGTGTGCTGTTGATGGATATTTATGTCCCACAATGCTTTGTACAAATGTAACGGAGCAGCAAATCAAGGCTGCAAAACATTAGAATGAAATGAGACCTGCAGAAATATATTTGAAAAAAAACAATAATAAAAAATATTATAACATTTTGACTGCTGTTCTTGAAGTCTAATTTTAGTGGCAGTATAATTTACGTCAAACTCTGCATGTATCATCTTCTTGCAACAATTATGTTCTAAAACCTATAAAGAATGTTAATTGCAAAGTATATTGTTCCGGTGTAGCTCCAAAAACTGTATACTAAGATCAGTGTAGACTTGTGCATACTGTACACAAGTAATATGTAGAATGCAATTAGAACTGAAGAATCCCCATCAGTGACAGAAAAGGCATTTCAAACCTTTTCATGTCCGTTTAGATCTGTAAGATGAGATCGTCGTCATAAATTGAGTAAAGTTATATATAAGTTATGTTATTAGACAAAGTGACCCCACATATTCCCTATAAGCCCTGCTTTTGAACATTGAAAATTACCTCACTATCCAGTTTTTGTGGCCTAATTGCCACGGTCGACATTGTCTTCATTAAAATGGTTTGGTTTCAATGAATAAATTTAATCCTGGAAAAAGAGGATTAATAAACAATGCCTCACACTGTGCAATGAGATGGTAAATTAACTTAGCACTGTTATGTAACGCAACAACAATACAACAGCACACATTTCAGCAAATTGCTAACACTTCTCCTGCTCAGTGCACACGGCTGTGTACTTTAGGGCTGCAACTAACAATTATGTTTATTTTTGATTAACTGCAGATAAAATAATGAAATAATGATGATCTAAAACCCAGAGTTATTCAATTTATTACCACACAAGATAAAGAACCAAACAGTCACTTTGGACAGGAGGTTACACAGCAGCATAATATCTAACCATCTGCCCACGGCTCTCTCCCCAGTGCCTGTTCCTGGTTTGGTGTATGGCTCCGGTGACGTGGAACGGCTCTGAGATCTTGTACAACCGCGTGATCCGGCCTTTTTTCTTGAAACACCAGGCTACCATGGACACTATGGTCAGCGATCTGAGTTCCAAGGCTAAGAGCTTAACTGAGACCGTCACAAAGGAGGGTGAGACAACTACAGTGTACATGCAAGTACAGCCATATCTATATTTATCTGTATGTACTGCAGCTACTTATCCTCACAGCAGACTAGCTTCTGCATTACATCATATAGGGCTGGGCATCTGAAATTAATATCACAGTTAATTACCACATATACCTTTTTATGACGTATTAAATACATCTGTGCACAAGATTATCCTCACAGTGAACATCTTATTGAATATTTGTACTGAACAATAAACAAAAAGTATGATGCTGAGTAATGTTTATGTAACATATTGAGTTGCTAATAACACTTCTAGGTATATATTTGCTAAAACAGGAAAATCAAGGTGAAATAGGCTCTAATTTGCATCTCTTCTGACTATTAAAATAAGCTATAATAACTTGTGAAAATACAGTAAAATATTTAAACAAAAGCTCGACTGCTGCGTCTGGCAGCTGCATAGCTAACTTCGGGGCTGCTGGTAAAAAAAAAAAAAAAGTTCGAACTCTGCTTGAATTTTGAACAACTATAGCATTAATTTCTTAAAAAAAAAGAAATAAAATAAAAAATGTAGCTCATACTGAATACTGCTAACCTGACTCCACTGCCACAGCTACCTCTCCTGGCTCCCTGAGTGCAACCACACAGTTACACTAACTCTAGAGACGCTAGAGGTAGAGAAAGACGCTACCTCTAGAGTTAGTGTAACTGCGCTATGCCACTATAAGCTCTGCTTTGATCTATATCGTGTGTCGGACACACGTAATTACATCACTTAAAACAGCTAGCTGAAACAAAGCCGTAACTCGACTTATGAAAAGAACCCACACAGCTAACTCTGGCTGGTTGTGCTCTCATGCCCGTAGGGGTTTCTTTTGTACTTTACAGGGGTAGGTGGCAGCCTATACAAAGGAATGAATGTATCAAATGTATTGATGTGACAGAAATTCAGTCAGTTAGAGACTCACACGCCACACTGTAAAAATATATCCTCACACACAATAATCTGTTGAGTTGTTTTTTACCTTTCTGCAAAATATAGTGGATTTTTTTCTTCTTCTCTTTGTTCCATCAGCTGTTAACCGGGCCCTTAACCATGACAAGGACCAGTGAGAGACATGGGAAGGCTTCGTGTGTGTGTGCATGTATGTGTGTTCGGGTTACTGAATGAGATTGTTTGTGTGTGTTTGTTGTTACACATTTGGTTTGTCCTCCCCCTCCCCCCTTCCGTGACGAATGATGATGATCGACCCGCCCTGTCATGTGGTGAAGTGAAGCTTCACACTCCTGAAAGTAAATAAAACCTTGTTTGTGCATTCACATCAGTTTACTGCCATCGGTACTGCCAGGACAATCAATGAAACTGTGACCCTTCATGTGATTTTATTTTCTTTGTTGTAGTGTGATAGAATAAGTGGAAAGAAATACATTGAAAACCAAAATAAGGATTTTGTGCCTGCAGGTTTCAGTAACACTGACGGTGAATTTAATATTATGTCTAATTGAGCCATTTGTGACGGAAAAATGAAGCTGACAACATAACGGTTATAAAAAGCAGGTTGTCTTCAAATGTGTCTAATTTTCTAACATTGTTCATCAAAACTGGAACTTTTACGTGTCATTGATGTCGTATTCCTCTTAAAAGCCTTAATCTTGCATGTGCCAAGCAGCAAGTCTGTTTGAGCTATTGGGGACGTTCTGAATCTAACTGGATGACTTCTGTCTTTTGTTATGTTTTAATTTATCATGTCATAATGATGAACCAATAAAACTGGAAACCATAATGAACTGAAGAACAGCGTCTGCGTGGCTTTAAACTTTAATTTTGTCCTGGTGCCCTCTCTCCAAGCAGTGTCATTCCTCACAAAGTGGCAAATGGGATTTTATTTGGCCCAAATTACAATGTTCATGCACCAGTGATTTCTGTAATTGTTTTTTTTATTGCAGTGGGCGAGTAAGGGAAATTGTATTTCTGGACTCATAACCTCTGCAGATTTGGTTCTAGTTCTTTTTGCAGCACTACATTTTCCTTATTATTGAACTTTTATCTGCAGTAATAATAAATGGTGGCCAAATATCTCACACTATGTGTCTTTGGAAACATTAAAATTACCCTTTTCTAAATTGTTATATATCAACTTTAAGAATGATTACTGCACATTTGTTAACAATCTGAACACATTATTTATAAGTATACAAGAATTTAGAATTCAGATTTGGCTGTTGAATTTAACTCTCAATTTAGATATATTTTAAATGTAGGTAGCAGAAAATGTTTATTTTGTTGTTGTGATTTGTTTCAGTGAAAATACTAATGCCGTGCACATTTTCTCTCCCATCCTACATATCCTCTTGATCCCTTGACCTGTCCCCCTCAAGTACATTTACCGGCATTCAGACGGCCTAACCACCCTCTCTTTAATTTGTGTTTGGCTCTGTGTTCACGCTTGAGGGGCTCTTAAAGGGAGGCCCTTTGTGTTCCTGCACTGGATGTAATGCATGGGAAATGGTGGACAGAGCCAGTGCGATGGCCACACACTGCCACAGGGAGAGGAAGGCACCCATCTGGAAATTGCTGCTGTGAAGATGTGTCTGCTTGTTGTTTGTTATGTATCCCCTCAGCCACTGGTGGCCGACGGGTTATTGATTAAACAGAAATTGGACACAGAAACCAATTATTGCATTGTGTTGCTCGGTGGTTTGATCCAAGGCCTTGTATTGAGTGTAAAGCCAGTAATGGCTTAGGACAGTAGAAAAGAAGAGCGAGAAGTCGACAAAGAAGGAGTGAATGTATGAAAGCGCGATTTATACATACACAAACATTTTTTCATCTGGCTTTCTCTTTATTAAAAGCTACTGTTCAGCAGGATCTAAAGACTGAATATGTCATTATTGAATGGACTGACATTTTGCACACACGTGAAATAGATTAACATCTACTAGATTGATTGGCACAAGAGTTCATACAGACATTCATGGTTCCCAGATGCTGAATCCTACTGACTTTGGTGATCATATAATACAATCATCCGGTCAAAGTCTTAGCTAATTATTTTCCAGTACTTTGGAAATGATGGTAAACATTATACCTGCTAAATGACATGTTAGCATTTAGCTTCCAAGCATGTCTAACACAGCCTCACAGAGCCACTAGTGTAGTTGACTGTGATGTTTTCTGCATTTAAAGGAGTTCTCATATATTGTGGCTTAATAATTATAATATATACTAATTAACTCTTATACAGGAAAGATGATATTCGGAACCTTAGTTTAATAGGACCTAAAAGTTACTCATGTGCTCTGCTAACACACATAAAACACAACCTAGGAGGGTAACTCATTTCTGAAAGTAAGGACTGGGAGCACCCAGGATAAAGCATGGCTGTAATGACTCTGGATCGGAGCCTCTGGATCCTCTCCCATCCTGTCAAATCTCAGTTCCCATCTGCATATTCTAGCATAATATATTTTCTCCATCTATCCCCCAAGACTGAAACAATCAATGCTACTTAAAATCGCCCTGTCTGCTTGTCTGACCATCACTGCCTGCTCTATAACGTCCCCTGCAGTCCCCAGCCTCGCAGACAGAGGGGGACAAACACAAGGCTGTGTGGATGGAGAGTTGGTGAGTCATACAGTGACACCGTCACGTACAGACTCAAACAGCTCAAAACAAGGCCTGGTCTAACTCGGCCACAGGCCTTTATTAGCACTAAGTGCTAGGCCTCTTCACACTGATTTGTGATATTAAAAAAGAATTCCTACCGACATTAGCTGAGAATCCATTTGGGCGTGTTTTTTACTGGGCTGGTATACTTCCTGGTTTATCGACTGTGTGATCTCACCTTCTTTCCGCCCATTGCATGTTGTTTTGCTCTGTGCATTTACAATATGCAGTCTATAGCCTCGTGTCCATACTGCTGTATTAATGTGGTCCTGGCTCTCTCCGCGGTGCTGAAACACAAGCAGGTCGCTGTCCGTGGTGCTGATCCTGGATCAGACAATTAGACAGAGACAATTTATTCATTTCTTTGTAAATTAAAGGCTCTCCAAGCTGACTTCATACATGACCTTATCAATACAAGCATAATGTATTTCCACTATCTAGATACCTTTGCTTGATATAACACAGATTTTATGTCAACAATCTGTTTGAGATGGGGTTACCAAACACAATTCTGATTTTACTCACACATTTTCACTCTAATTTCAAAGTTTTAATCTTCTTAATTTCTGCAGCTATAAAACAAAGTGAAACTGGCATAAATGAATAAATCTGCCTTGGCCTTGGAGATATCTGGCACTGACAGTATACTTTGCTGTGGCTGAAACATTGACAACAATCATTTGGAAATAAAACGGGGCTCTGCTTAGGTTACATTTTTCTTTCTATTTCTATTTACTTTAATGCGATCTGTGGCTCAGGGATCATCAATATTTTTTACTTCCAGGTTTCTTCGATATTTGATATTATATATGATTAAATTGTGACCGCACACGTGAATATTAGGATTAGATTGCCAGTGCAGGGGTCTTAATTTTTAGTTTTGGAAGAAGCAATTGTGGTCAATTTCACATCGTTGCAATAATCCAGGATAAAATACTTTTAAAAATTATTTATATATATATTTTCTTTTAGAGGAAGTCCTTTTTTTATAGCTTATTTTTCTGGCACTCAACCACTAGGAAGTGTATGAACGAAAGAAATTCATGTGTGGACAGAAAAGGGAGAGGGCATAGCACCTCCCACGTCCTATCTGCGAGAGAGGGAGAAAGGGAGCGAGAGAAAGAGAGCGAGAGAGAGTCTGCTGTGGTGGTGTTGGAAATCGGACGACATGAGCTCTACATGAACCGTGTAAAATGCTTTAAGACGCTTCCGGCGTTTGTCTTTCATCCGTCTAAACCAAGGACGAGCCTGAAGCGGAGCTATACTTCACGACCAGGTATGGAGATGCTGCTCATCCCCGCATCTTTACATGGAGGTTAAATGTTGGTATTCAGTGGCGTAACCGCGGTGCTTCTGCGAGGCTGACTGTTGAGCGCGCACTGTGCCTGCTGTTCACGGCCAAAAACGGGACAGCAGACCTCATTTTCTTTATGTATCTGCTGACTGTTGGTTTGATTTTATCCTTTCAGATTTGTGTTTGATACCCTCGGTCGTGTGAAATGTATGTAGCTTATGCCCGCACAGCCATATTGGCAGTCAGCAGGAGAGGAAAAGAGAGAGAGAGTGAGGGCAGAGATATGAGGGTGTTGGGTTTATCATATTGCTTTGAGGAGTAAAGGGAGGTGGAGGAGGGTGTGGGGGGGAGGAGGAGGGAGGGAGGGGAAGGGGGGTGTCGCTGCGACTGTGAAATGATGGCACCGCTGCGAGATGGCGATCCTCTGGTATTTATGAATGAACCAAGCGGAGTGGGGTGGTCTGTAATGGCGTTGCGCACCAATCTGCGGACCAACGGCAAGCCCCCTCCCGCTGCCACCCCTTCCTGGCTACAGCGGAGGCGGAGATGCACGTCAACATTAAGTCTATACACTAAAAATGACGCCAGCGTGACGCATAAAGCCCGATTTCTGTGGCAAATGCCATGGTTAATCCTCCATCTGGATTTCTCCATGTCTCCTCCTCCGTGCCCTGGTGTGCTGTTTGTTGTGAGTCTCGAGAACTGAGGAGAGCCATCGTGACATGCAAAGGCAGTTGTGAATCATTCAGGCCTCCTCTATATATGTGTGAATATGTATGTGACTCAACTTCCTGTATGCATTGAACACTGGCACTCATGGGTGTGTGTGTGTGTGTGTGTGGGTTGCAGGGTTTGAGAGAAAGGAGAGAGGAGAGAAGAGAGAGGAGAGATGTATGACTGTAAATCCTGTGATTAAGCTTTAAAGTGTGTGGTTGGGAGTAGCATAGGGATGCAGATGTTAAAGCATGCATGTGTTGGTTGAGGATGGAGGATAAGTGGAAGCGTGGGGGAGTGTCAGTGTCCTGCCTGTCTGTTTGTCTGTCTTGAATGGCCACAGTACGGTTGCATAAGAAAATTTCTCTCTGCTAAGCCAGGACAAAGAAATGACTCAATACACGGTAACAAGGAGAAACACAGAAAGAGGAGGTGATGCTGACGTTTCTGAGTACGGATGCTGATGATTGATTGGAGTGTTTTTATTTTTTTATTTTTATTTTTTAGTTAAGGCCCATTAAAGCACACTACACAAAGCTGTGTGAGATCTGGATGACCAGATGTTGAGAAAGGTGTTAATTTCTTAGGGGACATCTCTTATGTCTGCAGATAAACTGGGCAGCTCCTAACACAAAAAGTCTTCTGCAATTATCAAGATCAGGACCGGTCGAAAATGTGTTTTTTGTGCCTTCAGAGAATGAAAAAACATTAACTGGTGTCTTTTGGGTGCAGTTTCTGAGCTATTTATGTTCTTAATTTCTATAAATGTTCATTAATTAACCATGCATACATACAAAATCTAAGTGGCTATATAGGATATACAATAAAGTTTTACCCAGGGTTACCATGGTGTAACAGTAATTGTTTTCCCTCATTTATCCTTCTCTATTAATCATAATAAAGTTAATCGTATTGCACATTTCAAAATCAGTGATTACAAAGTACTATACAAAAAGCAAACATAAAACAATAAAAGATCATAGGAATGACCAAGTTAAAAGAGAACAAATTACGTCAAATTAGAACAAATTAAGGAGAATAAAATACCAATATATTTGTAAAAATATACACAAATATACATATTGGCTCACAGTGAGGCAGTAGGCCAGAACATGCCCATGACTTGAAGGTTTCTGCCTGATAAAATGTCGTAGAGAAATACATTCTTAAAAGCGTTTGTCAAGCAATTTTTATTTGATGTTTAAAATGAAGTTGTTTTGTTGGACGGCTGCCATTTGCATTGAGTGAAACTGTGTGAATTTGACGCGGGTTGTTGCTCAGGTGGAAGATGCATGCTCAGTGAACTGTTCCTGAATAAATAAAGGTAAAATATTTGTAAAATGTATTTACACTATAGGAGTCTTTTTTCAGTTGTATATACGTATTTGTGTTTTTACTCCTCCAACTACCAGATATGGTATCTTTATTTTAAAGTAATTGGTACTTCAGGAAGCTAATTTAATTAGGTTTCAGATATGTTGAGAGAAGCATAGAGTTTTGACCATGCTCCATCTAGCTTGTACTCCTGCATATATTAGTGTTTTTTTGGCCCAGATTTCCCCAGACTCTAGGTTGAGAACTACAGTTGTAAAATAATCATTGTTTCATTCAGTTTAATCCCAAAAGCACAAAACAAAAATGGATACTCCTCTCATACTGAGCTTACCTCCATAATGTTTCTTTGAGCCTCATCTTCCCCTGGTTATGTTTTATTGATAAAAAAAAAAAAAAAAAAAAAGTTAACTGCTGTCTTCTGATGATGTTTAAGTCTGTCTGTTGCTTTGACAGCACAAATCTACTCAAGTGCACCCTCACTGTTGAGCACTTCTGAGCTATTTATAACTCTATACTGCATAACGTCTGCTTTAATACTGGACCAGATCAATGCTAAAGTGTTTTAGTTGTTCTGACAGCATCAGCTCATTTGAAAGGTCTACACAGTCTTCATTATACTTGGCATTAGGCAGGATTTTCTTGGTCTTGTGCAAAACTAATCGAAGGCCAGGATGGCTGTTCTGGTCAATAATGCACACTGTGACCTCTGAGTTGCCGCGTTTTATTTCACATTTTATTCAAATATCAGCTGTTCATTTAATGTAAAAAAAACCCACCCATCTTTAAATCTGTTTCAAGAAATTATGAGAACTGAGAGAAAATTTAAAGGTATTTTGCGGTTGAAGATAACCGTCAGTCTCATATAATCCCAGTTGCATCATGGGAACGTCACAAGCAGTCTGGAGCCGGGATTCCCATGTTGCCTCTGCTTTTACCCATCTGCGTCGTTATCAGTCGTGGATCAACTGGTATTATAAAAAAGCTGTGCCTGGTTGAGCTTGCCTGTAGAAACCAATGGAGTCAATCCAAAACTACCATCCCTGTCACCATCTGTCACTGCAGGCAGGTTTTTGCAACACACTACACCAGTCTGTAATTAGTGCTTCAGTCAGGTTGGGGCCTTCAAAGCTTCTAAGAATAGACATTCTTTAAAAAAACATTTTTTGAATACATTAAGCAGACTTGAAAACAAACATGATTTCTCTATTACCGTTGCTGGAAATTGAATTTCTTTACTCATTCTTGGCCTAATTCTGGTCTTAATAGCCAGGTGCCACTGTGTTTCCCAGATTGCCAGGCCGTGGTATTAGCAGGGTCTTATGGAGAAGCCAGACGGAGCAACCCAGGGATCCCCAGGTCAAGCTAATGCTCAGTACTAATAAACACTGAAAAGACTAATTACACGGCTGTCTTGCATCCAGTCCTGTGGAAAAAATGCTGCATAGAATCAGCGTGATTATGGTTGCAGGTTATGATTACCGATCTGCCTGAGGGGGAAATGTTTTCCTAAACTCCTATTGAAAGTGTGCACTTACTATATATCTTCATTTAGACTAATTAAGGACCAGATGCAGGTAGAGAGATGTTTTTAAATGCAGACTCTAACACAGCTGCTTTTTAGTTTATAGCAGAGGAAAGCTTGCTTATGGAAAACATACATCAGTGGAAGGCATTAAAAATGTTTTTCTGTTTTAATATTTTGTTCTGCAACAGCCATTCAATGTGTTTACATTCTGTATCACCCTATATAGTAGTTTTCATCGTTTGTGGCGGAGTCCACCACCCTGTATTCAAACTGCCTACCTATGCATACTATTTGTGTTTTTTTGGTTGAACATAAATATTCGTTGCTCCTCTGTTGTTCTGACGAAGTTGCTGCTCAAAGAGTTTTTGCTGTAGTATTACACTGCACCTGCTGTTACAACTTGCCAAATCAAGGATTAAGGATTAAAACTTCAACTAAGAAATGCTCATCATCCAGGCTGTTTTGCTTACCGCAATTTGCGATAATCCACTGCAGTTTATGTGGTGAAAACCCCACTCTTACAACCCCAAGCCGAAACATCTGCACTGTGCTTGGATTGAATAAATTGAAAAGTGCTTAATCTAATTTCACTATCGTTGTGTAATAGTAGTAATAAACTATTTGGGGGTGTTTTAATTTCTTTACAATCAGAATCATCCAAGGAAAGCCTAAACTGGCCACAGTTCACTGGTGGACTTTCAAAGTAGTGCTGAGGGGGAAATTCCTGTGGTTAATAGATGGATCTTCTGCTCCAAAACCTTCTGCTCTAAATTAAATATGATTCTGCAAGTCTCAATAGATGCATAAATGTCACCTTTATTGTTTGTGTGTCTGGCTCTGCTGATATTCCTGTGTCACAGTGAAAGTGTTGTGCATGCTGAGTCAAAGAGATGTGCATGGACTATCAGAGGGATTCAGCGTGCATCAGGAACTGCATGTAGTCTTACAGGGAGACCGCTGGTAACTTAAGTCCTGGGAATTGGGTCAATGCAGGGCAGGCCAGGAGCACAGAGGAGGTTAAGCTCAATGATTAGCTACTAAGCCAAGACCACAGTGCTGCAATCTCTTGTACAGTCTAACGCACAGACTCCATGCACGTACAGTGGAGTATGCTCAATCACAGCATAGATTGACACTGATGAGTAGTTTCAATTACAACCTTCAAACATCTCAAGCATGCCCACACAGGTATTGTTACATTTAGAAGTTTATATTTAAAATGTCGTCTTATTAACTTCAGAATCACTCAGAGGTGAAATTATGGTTTCTGTGTTCTGCACATTGATTGATTGATTAAGCTGGCAATGTTCTACAAAGAGGTCACTTATACATTTAGCTATAAAGGTGTAAACAAGTGTATTTAGTTTAAGAGTAATGTAAATTCTACTTCCATTGAAGTGCTTCTTTG